GGTAAACTTGTGGTCGTGGGGGCAAGCAGCACTCGTTGATCAGACACTGGATCTCGAAGATGGGAGTGTTTGTCCTTGCCTGGAGTTCAACTTTGAATATACGAGATGAGATTAAAAAAGAATTGTATCTGAGGTTTCAGCTTGCAAGAAATTTTAGGTTCAATCCCTTGGTGAGATAAAGGTTTGGCCTCTCATGCGAAAAGCCTTTTTCGATATTTTTTGTTTAGCATAGTGATATGTTTATCGGCAGGATAAGCATGGTTACGCCACAGAATATCCTGTTTCCGGTAAAGGCGCCACGGAAAATGCAGGATAACGTTGCGGGTGCGCCACAGGATCTTACATTTTTGTGCGGGTTCTATGGAAATGTTATACGGAAAGATCGGCTCATGCGGTGGGGAGAGCAAATTATGCGCTAATTTAACAAGCCGCAGGAAATTAATTTGCTCGCTCGGAGACATCGGCACCAGCATTGTTAGACTGGAATCAAAAAACCGATAATTGTGATAAAAGTTATGACTCTCGCGATAGTAATTATGATCATTATGAAGCAGGAGACTGTGAAAAGCCGAGAAAGCTTATGAGATGAATTCAAGATTGTATAGATAACTTGAAAGCTTACAGAATGTACGGCTGAAGTTGACCTGGGGAAAATTGCGAGGCGGCCTGCAAAGTCAGGCACTACGCTTTAGGCCTGAGAATGCCGAGATCCTTTGTTGTTTATGTGCAATAGACGAGGTGAGGCCCCTTCTTTCCAAGGGTGGTGATCTCTTGTAATCGATCGGAAAAATACTGGTTGTGCTTGCAAGACACTTCAAGATCCGTATACGGATCTATCCCCAGAAACACTTTCAGTCTAGATATCAACCTAAAGCAATAGAATATATTTTACCAACCACCCGATAGAAGCTGGGGCTTGGACTTGAATCAGATGTCCAAACCGCTGCTCTTATGGCTATAACGACGTATTGTATGTACTCTATATGTTGGTGAGTTCCATAACCACTGATGCATCGGTAAAACTGAAAGCTTATAAAGAGAATGCGAAATCTAGTTTAACATAATACTCTAGATAATTGCGCAGTCTCAAATCTGGGAATATCCGTTTTAGGGGCGTAGAGGTTGAGATTAAATGCTGTTGACTGCTCTGAGTGATCAATGAAGGAACAGTACCTACGCTGAACTCCTCTCTTAGCATGCCTACCAATACTCCAACACAGTCCATAGCTACTACAATTCGTCAGTTTTAATAAGCCTCCCTACTTTTCCAGAGGTGTACTTTAGAACTTTAAGGCTCAGAAGATCCTAGTTATATTATTGACTAAGATAAAGCTTGCGCACGGATACATTTCAGCCATATAAGTCATAGCCATATTTTCTAATGATCAGGAGAAACTTCGATGGGCCCTATTGATCCAAGTTCTGGGACCGACAAAGCTAGCCTGGAAAGCCGAAACGTGAAATGACCTACAAAACCCACAAGTACCCCTTATTGTTCTATCACTTTTTCCTTTTGCTTATATTACCGCACTTTCCTTTCCTAGTGGCGGTAAGATAATTAAACCTATCATCCTTCGCCATTTTCTCATTCAGACTGCGATTAGATTATTGATATTTATTTTCTTACGCAGTCTTCTGGTGGATAAATTGGACCATTGGAAAAGCTGGTGGGGAATTTCCGTGGCTCTCCTCAATGGATAAGTCCGTCCCACTCCAATACTTACGGGTATTTATCCTTCAAACCAGTTTTTAGGAAATGTCTGAAGTCCTTATTTCGGTTGTAAGTATTACCTGATGCGCAAAAATCAATACTATAATGGCACCGGCTTCATACTTTGATCCAAGGAATCCAAGCTCTATCTAAGTCCCTCAGGGTCGCACAAAAACTTTACCAATATAGAGATCAGAAAAAAATAAATATATTATAGTACCAAACTACACTAAACGGGACTAAATGCACTGGGTCATTACTAAAACTGATACAGGGAACTCCAACAAACCTGTAAAAGTTAGTCACTTGGCTGCCCTTCAGCTAGCTGCCATTTATTTGATTTACTAGTCATCTACTAACCATGATAGGTCAGTGGCGGAAATTATACCTGTCTGCGCTTTCCAAAACATTAATGATTACAAAAACGTAACTAATATACACTACGAGAAGCATAATCACCTCTCTATGCTAGAGGAGGGGTTTCTGGCACTGTCGGCTGGCTGAACCACTTGACAGCGGGATACTTGAATAATGGTCACTTGACAGTGATTCAGTTAGCCACTTCACTTCAGGGTGTCACCTTACTTCGGAGTTTCACTACGCGACTTCCTGTCACTGTGCAGACTTGACTGGCTCTTCCTCCCCCTCCTGTGGATCCACATACCCCCCTGGACAGTTATCCACAGGAACCCCTAACTCATATAACCGTGCTTCAGTCTTTTGTCTCTGCACTGCCTGCCATCTAGCCAACTTGGCGTACTCGTGCAATTGGAAGCCAAACACCTTTGGCACGTATCTCTCGGTTGGATGCGTTGGTACCAAGTGTGGATAGGCTTGGAAAAACATGGCTGGGAAGGACGAGCCAAAGAAGGCGCCGTCGATGGCCGCGTGTCTGGACGACTTTGGGTTGTACAAGTCCTCGCACCTTGGGCAGTAAAGCTTGACCGGTTGCAAGCGCGGAGAGTCGTTCAACCCCACGGGCAACAATGGCTGCAACTTGCAGTAAACACGGGGGCAATAGCCAAAATCACCGTTGCGGTACTTCTCGAGCATCTTGGCGAGCCCGCGTTGGGTGATGATGTATCTGGCATGGACCAATCCGTACAAAAAGCGCGCGTTGTACTCCAACTGTTCCTTGACTTCCGCTGGCTGGCCTTCAATCTTGGCGTTGTCAGTGATGATGTCAATGGCAGCAGAAATGCGGTTGACCTCGGTGGAAAGTCCCGTCAAGTTGAAGCGGTCGGTGATGTACTCGAAGTCGATGTCACAGAAGTACTCGTTGCCCTTGGTTCCCAAGAACCAGTCGATCCAGTACTCGGTAAAGTCCGAGCCAGAGTCACTGGTGTATTCTTCTTCTTGTGGCATGGTGCGGAGCTTCGAGTTCTATCCAGAAACTGCAAGAACCTGGCGGATGGTGAAACGCCAGATATCGATATCGCGCAAGTGATGAGAAAAATTGTTGTAAGGAAAATGCACGGCTTCGGATGCAGCACGACTTATGATGGGACTTGGACCAGAAGGACGTTAAACGAAGCCTACCCTGATTACTCATCTTGTTTATATTTTAGTCGTAGGAGTCTATAATGGTATGAATAACTATTTTTTTTTTTTTTTACCGACTGGGGATCTTCAACCAAAGTTGTATTTGGCATGATGATATAAAGAGGAATTTGTCACGTGATAGACACTGGACAACGCCACATGGCTACTGTTCGACTGGTGGCTATGGGGACAGGGGTCGTACGGCCATTTATTGAATCTGACAATGTTGGACGGCTAGAGTTAAGGGAATTTAATTTCGGGTTTCTTGATTTTATTTCAAGTCCGGCTAAATGTGTCTGACAACGATTCATCTAACGCTATGAGTTACGCCAGATCCTCTTTGATACAGTTTTAAAGGGATGTGCTGGATGCGATAAAATTCATACAGTGGGGTTTGGAATAAGGGAATTCCAAGTTTTGGAGGTTTATTTAAATTTCAGCGATGCCAGTGTTCCATTGCCTGTTGGTACACTAACAGGAAATTGAAGTAAACACCCGAGACTACCATCGGACTACGAAACAGCTATTATTGGACTTAATTTCACCAAAACAAAAGCAAGGATTATCAATTTAGGCTAAGAAAAGCTATCTTTCGGGTGAGTGAAAAAAATAACGGAATAGTTACTTCAATGTCACAAAGTGGCTCTACTACATTTACGTTGAAGATTATTGGTGGAAGCTATAATTACATTATATACAGGGCACCTACCTCTCTGGTTTACCCCAGGGTCCACGCAGGCCGCTTCATATTCACAAAAATCCATATTTCGAGGTCGAGGTGGCCAAGTTGGGATAAACTAATCTTAGATAGTACAGGATTTTAAGGATTGAAGATTAAATTAGAAGATATGGCAGTATAATTATTTCTGTAGATAGCACAACAAGACAATGAAAGCTCATCTGCGGGACCGGGCCTGGTTTCATCCTAAGAAAGCGTCAAACGCCAACACCTCTATTTTGCTCCTCATAAAGTGGCACAATATATGTCCCTCTCTGACTAAATCAGGTAAATAACAGCCTATCCTCATTAAAGGAATTAGTATGCCCTTCGCCCCACCTTTGCCTTTTTTTCATGTCGTTCCCCTACCAACACACGTGCTGTACGCGTGGTTATTTACCAGTGACTATTTCAGCAGATCTAACCTCACCTCGTGCCATTTCCGCCCTCTCTACCCACAATGAAGTTTGCGAAGCTCCCACACACGATTCACGGCGGTGAAGTACGCGCGGTGTCGATTGACCCCTCCGCTAAGTACGTGTCCACCACCGGGCGAGATGGTGTGGTCAGCGTCTGGGATTATGGCAAAATGCTTGAGCTAGTTAAGGCAGAACAGCCTGACGGTGCTGCCCTCAGCGCGATGCAGCCGCTTGTGTCAATTACATGCCACATTTCAGATTCAACCATCGTGGTGTCACATGCTAAAGGAGACAAGACGGAAGACAAGGCGGGCGATAGGGCAGATGATGCGACGCGATTTCCTGCGGTGTCGCCTGAGATCGTAGCCAATGTTACTAATAATGTCGCAAACGATACCGCTGCAGCCTTGCCTATGGGTGCCGTCGCTTTGTCTATTGCCTCCCCTGTGATCACCTGTGCGCGCTTCTCTCCCGTCTCCACACAGCTCGTTTCCTGCGACGATACCGGCATGGCCTATCTCACCACGGACCTCACCTCCTCCACCCAAATCTACTCTAACACAAATGGCATCGTTGATGTTTCCTGGTCCGCTGATGGCCGCTTGATCGCCATGGCCTGCCTCAACAATAAGTGCGTGATTGTAGACACAAAGAAGCAGACGACGTACGAAATCCCTACACCGTCACCTGTCAAAGGCGTGGCCTTCGACCCCACCAATAACTACCTCATCGCTCTAGGTGATGACAAAACCGTGCAGGTTTACCAGTACACCAGTTACACCCAACACCCAGGAAACAAGCTCCAGGTGTTTGGGGAGTGTGGCATCCGCCTCGTGCTGAAAGTGACCAACTTGATCAGCAAGCTGGGTCTGAACGTTACCTACAAACGTCTTTCATGGTCGCCCGAGGGAAACTTCATTGCCATCCCCAACGCCAACAAGGGCAACACCTCTCTCATCTCTGTAATGGCGCGCCAGAGCTGGCAGCATTTATTCTCGCTTGTGGGGCACGACCATACGTGCGAGGTGGTTGCATTCAGCCCCAAAGCCGGGCTCAGTGAAGACCATCGGTTGTTCAGTCTTCTCGCTTCAGCCGGAAGCGACAACTCGGTGGCGCTCTGGTCCACGCTAGCGGACAAGCCGCTCTTTGTGGCGAGAAATGTCGCCATGAAGGCCATTGTGGATGTGGCCTGGGCGCGCGACGGGCGCAGCTTTGTTGCGGGAAGTCTTGATGGATCCATGTGTCTCTTTGTATTTGGCCATACGGAGTTGGGCCGTTTCCTCTCCGATAAAGACCTCCATCTCCGCCGCACGTTCTACTCCAAGCCTGCGGAGTTCATAGAGGACGATTTGGTGATCCGTCTGACGGGCAAGGTCAAGAACACTGCTATCGAGAAAGAAAGTGCTGTACCAGTGTCAGATAGCGAGGTAGAGGTCGAGGTTATCCACAGGGCGAAGGAGCGGGAAGAAAAGGAGAAGGAACGTAAGGTGAATGGAGAGGCTAATGGGTTGACTACCCAGCGTGTGACAACAAAGGATGGAAAAAGGCGAATCCAGCCGATGCTAGTTTCGGGCGAGACGAAGATTTCAGGTGGCACAACCGGCGAGTCTTCTGGCGAGGTCTTTGCCCCAGCCTCGACCGCCTCTGCCATGGAATTTGACCAGCCGTCCTACTCTATCTCCAAAACCCTCCACACCCAACTAAAGCGCCGCGAGGAACAGCTCGAGCTCGAGGCCGACCCTCTGGACACCCCCAAACCGAAGCGTAAGCGCATGCTCTCGCCCGTGGAGTTTATTGGTTCAGTCGCACACAACCCGCAGATCGCGTTCGCAAATGCGCGTATAGCAACGCCAAAAGTACGCTCGCACTTTGCGCTTGCCGCGCCTGGTGATGCCGCATTGGTTCTCGAGGTACGTAACGGCTCGGGCAATGAGCAGCGTCCCAGCCGCCTTTCGCTCGTCAAGGCAACGCCCGGAAACGCGCTCCGCGCAAGCCAGCAGATCTTTGTCGACTACATCCCCAAGCACATACACTTGACCGCTGGCGGCGAGGGCCTCTTTTGGGCTGTAGCGACGGCCGACGGTAGCGTCTACGTGTATAGTGACGGTGGGCGTCGGTTGCTTCCTCCGCTTGTGTTAGGTGCGCCGCTCGCGTTCCTTGAGAGCCGCAAAGACTTCTTGATGGCCGTCACATGTGTGGGTGAAGTATATGTGTGGGACGTACGCGCGCGTGCGGCGGCGTTTGAGCCGGCATCGCTCTTTGCAATTCTCGACGCAACTGCGCGTGCAGGTGAGGACGGACTCTCACGTACAGAGAACATCACGCTTTGTTCTGTAAGCGCTGCGGGGGTTCCCGTCGTGACGCTTTCGAATGGTAACGGCTACTTGTACAACAAGGACATGTGTACGTGGTGCACAGTATCGGACTCGTGGTGGGCATTCGGCTCGCAGTACTGGGACGCCCAGGCGAGTCGTCTGGACGCACGCCCGGGGCCAGACGAGAGACATGGCATCATCACGTTGTTGGAGCAGAAGACAAATGAAGAGATTGTGCGCAAGGGCCGGGGCAAGGTATTGCAAAAGATCGCAAAGGTGATGCTCATGAAGGAGGGCTTTGAAAATTTAGAAAACGCAATCTCGCTTGCCCATTTGGAGAACAAGATTTTGGTCAGCCAGATGCTCCAGGAACACCGCGACTTCCGCAGTTACCTTGTGATCTACACGCGGCGGATTGCCGAAATGGGCTTAAAGACACGGTTGGTCGAGATCTGTCAGGCGTTGCTCGCGGGCGAGGAGGAATTGTGTGGATACAACAAAAAGGAGTTGCTAAAGGAGATTATCCTCGGCTGCGCGCAGTACCGGGATGTTCAGCGTATTTTAACATCTTTCGCCCAAGCGATCGGCTTGGTCAAGGAGGCTTAGATTCAGAAAAGTATATAGTAATGTTTATCAGGACTTGAAATATGTATGGAGAGGCGGGAGTATAACCGAAGGGTATGTACCTGGAAGTTGGTCAGAGAAAATGGCTTAGGGGAATGTAGGTAGGTTTTTAGACAAAAATGAATTATATTGAGGTTGGAGTGTATTTCCTTTGGGTTTATCACCAAGTTTAATAATATATACTCAAACTATTTGAAGGATCAAGAAACTATCTTGAGCTGAAAAAAGAGGAATATTGTGATTTTACGAGAGTATTGAGGAGGGTTTCTTAAATGGGACATTTCGGTTACACATTTCCCCCGGCCTCCTAAAAGTGTCCTAGTTTCTCAGGTTATAATATTCCTACGGGTTATTCTATTTTCCTGGTTCTGAGCTCTCCAGATACAGACTTCAATACTATACCAAATATAGTTCTTCTGATCGTTACGGCATCTATAACAAAGCTTCTGACTTACACCCATACAAACCCCATCTTCTTAGGCTTTGCGATTATTCCCTCTATTGACCATTTCTTGAACCTGACTCTACCGGGGAGATATATCACCCTGTGAAGCATAGAGTCCCTCGTCTCACCTCGGAACCTGCATCCATTCATTCTTCCCTTTTACATACCCTAGAGTCTATATCTATAAAAATGGATACCTAAAGAAACCCGATCTTTCTTTTAACATCGTTCATGTTCTTCACGGCGATTTCGGTCGCCTTGACAGTCCCTTGTTTACACACCTCGTCTAAATATGCAGGGTCGGCCATCAACTGCTCGTACAACTTCTTGGGCCCGCGGAACTCCTCGATCACCACCTCCGCCATGTGGTCCTTCAACTGCTTATGGTTGCGGATGTGCTGCAAACTGGCAATGGTCTCCTCGGTTGTCTGTCTGGTGATTCCAGAAATGATATCGATCATGTTAGAGACCCCCGGACGAGTAATCTGGTCGTAGTAGAGGTCACCCTGGATGGAGTCTGTGACGGCACGCTGGACTTTCATTCTGATCGACTCCGGCTCCTCGTTGAAGTATATCGATGCGGTCTGGTCCTTGTCAGACTTGGACATCTTCTTCGACGGATCTCTTAACGAAAGGATCTTGCGCGCAGGCGTGAGGAGCGTCTTGGGGATCGGAAACGTGTCACCGTACGCGCGGTTGAACTTCTCCGCGAGATGGCGAGTCAATTCCAAGTGCTGCGCCTGGTCGTCACCCACTGGCACATGGGTCGCGTGGTAGAGCAAAATGTCCGCTACTTGCAAAACGGGGTATGCGAACAAGCCCGTACCGGCTGTACTCATCACGTCCGCGAGTGCGCTCTCGGAGGAAGCCCCGGCCTTGGCCTTCCACTGCGTCATGCGATTGAGGTAGCCCAAGCCCGTATGGCACATGAAGATCCAGCTCAACTCCGCATGCTGCGCTACTGACGACTGGTGAAATACGGTGCACTTCTGGGGGTCAATGCCCGACGCGAGTATTGACGCGATGGCCTGCGCGCGGAACGTGCGCAACTCATGCGGATCCTTCGGCACCGTGATAGCGTGCAAGTCTGCTGTCGCAAACATTAACGAGGTGTCTGTGTGCGCACTGTCTTGCAACTCGCGCCACGCGCGTACCGACCCAAGGTAGTTCCCCAAGTGGAAGCGCCCTGTCGGCTGGATCGCACTGAACACAGTGGAATTCGGCGGGAGCGCACAGTTCGTATGCGACACCACCTCGACGGTTTTTTTGATAGTGGAGTATGTACGACGAAACATAATAGTCTTGAGTATGATCGAGGGGGAAGCGCTTATGGTGTGGGTTGTTAAAGAGTGGAGTTGATAAAGAATTGAAAATTTTGCCACTCCGCGCAAACGCGCACGTGAAGCAAAATCAATCGAGGTGTATTTAGTGTACCTTTACATAGATAATTGTGAGGCATATTGATTGTATATTTAGTGTCCAAATGTGTGTATGTAGAAAATTGTAGCGGTATACTTCTTATTCATGATTGCTTTAAGTATTAGAAATGTAATAAACTCGAATATTGCATAAGCGCCCAATAGGCTGATATACTTCACCTGCGTATAAGTTTTATCTCACTTTCCGTTTCGATAATATAGCCGAGATGGTATATAACTCATGCTCAGAATTCACATTTTCTATATACATTATTCTTTGTTGCTGAAAAAGTTGGACCATCTCATTCCTCCGTCCAATGCAGCTATCTTACAACTTGTAGACATTATCTTCATCCCAGCCCTTGGCACCCAAGACACCTTTGACTGGTCCTTGCTGGTCCATAGGGTGGAGCTGGTTCTCTAACTTAGCACCCGCAACGTACGCAACGTACCCGTCAGGTCCACATACCAACGCCAACGATGAGCCCTTCTTTGGAACTTTCGCCGTTACCAGCGCCTGCTCCAACGCCGTGTTAAAGTGCTCACTCAACTGGTAGTTGACCACCGGCTTGGCACTCTCTGGTTTACCGGTAGAGCCAAAGGAAGCCGCCGCTTTTGGCTTCGCGGGCTTTGCTTCAAGCTCGCTCGGCTTCATCTTACGGCTTAGCTCCTCCATCTTCTGTTTGATCAACTTTTCTCTCTCATCTTCATCGTCCACATTCGACGGATTGAAGCATCTTGCAATCGGGGGAATAACATTTTCCGCCTTCAAGTGGTTACCCTTCTCATTCACATAGTAATTCATCTTGACCCTGTCTAATTTCTCCAAAAAGTACAAAAAGCGTTGGATCGGGATCTCACCCGCAGTTTGCACCGAGTAGTGCACATCGATAAACCCCTTGTACGGGTTTGGCGATAAGAGCACCTGCAAAAGCGGTGCAATCCCGGTCCCGGCACCGTAGAATGCCAAATTATCGTACTCCGGAATGCCCGCTAATTTGTCTTCGGGGATCACCAAGCACAAATCGGTATCCGGCAAGATCTTTGACGGCAAATCCAACATCTTTGGTTTCGTCACCCAGTCGTCGAGCGGATGCTTAGGGAATACAAATTCGGTGAATGGGCCTCTGATCTCGATCTCCGCACCGACCGCACGTGAGCAGAGCCAGCGCGCGACCTCACCCTGCGCGTATCTCTTCACGTAGAGCACCAAACGACCGGAGTCGTCACCCGGGTTGGTGATCTTCAACAAAGGCTCGAGCTCCGGGTGGTCCGGGTCCTTCAAGAAGTGCAACGGCAAAGGAGTGTACTTGCGCACAACCATTATCTCCGGCTGCTTCACCTCGATAGACCAGATACGCGAGCCGTCCCAAGTATCCTTCGTGATTTTCAACTCGTCGAACCAACTACCCGATGACTTTGGCGACAACTCCACGAGGAAATGGTCTTTATCAATCTGCTGCTTGTGGCTGATGACGTAGGTGGCAAACTTCTCGGGCGTGAGCGTGCGCTCCTCAGAGTGGTCCGCAACTGCGTACCACGCGGTGTAAATGAGATAGAGCGCGACCCCAGAGCCGATAATCATCGGCATGTGGCGCCGAATGGGGCGCGACTGTAGCGGCTTGACTGGCGGTGGTGGCGGCGGTGGTGGAAACTCGTACGATACACGCTCGTGTTTCAACTTGGGCAGGTAAGGCTTTGTTGGTTTTGCCGGGAGGTTTTTCAGCGCCAGAAGCGGCGCTGGTGACGCCATCGGACGGTACACCTTGCGATTTTTCATTTCTTGAACGGACGGGAGGTGGTCGGGCTTGTTCGCCGGTACATCGGAGTAGCGTGCACGCGCAGGATTGGCCGCACGGATACCTGCTCTCACGAGTCTAAACATCGGAGTGGGGTTGGTGGAGATTCCTTATGAGGTTTGGTGTCCTTGATGTGGATATATGACTAGGCTTTGGAGAGTTGAAAGTTATATGCAGAGCATTTTCCAGCGCGAGTCCACGCCTAGGGCCGTGCACGAGCTTGTACTAGAGTGGATGTGCGAACGTAACTAACTGTACAAGCAGAGATATCCCCAGAAAGAATCCAAAAGATTTGATAACTAACTCAAACGAGTGTACAACGTGGCAAACTGAGACAAGATTGGTAAAAAAAGGTCGTATCGTGACATTCTGTGTCACAGAAATTGGAATTGCATTCTTGTATCTTGAAAATAAAGAAATGCAGTAATTAACTCAGGTGGAAAGTTATTTCATCTAAAAATTAAATGCGGGTAATGAAGGCCTGATTAGTCTTTTTTTTAACCACAATGAATGGTAATTTAACATACTAGCAATACCTTAACAAGAAAGGCAAATTGCCGAATTCAGCTCAGATAAGCAGCCCGGCCTAACGAAGTCGGGCAAAGGACAAAATTTACATGAATCCCAAACAAAGAGAGGCTAGCACGAAAATATAGTAATTGGATTAGAGACTCGGAGAAGGAAGTGGGAAGGGAAATATTAAGGGGTGGATCCCTGGGATAGAAGTTAGTAGCGAGATCTATTAATCACAACTCCAAACCACAGGAAAGAACAAGAAGTAACCGAAAATCAGTAAAATGCAGAAAGAGTATATGCGGGTATGTGAGTGCAACATGGCAAAGCGGCACATCTAAATAGTTCACTAATCAGCGTCTTTAGAATAAGTTTCCTTCTTGACAGGAATCTTGATCCCCTGAGCAGCAAAGGATTTGCTCAACGGCGTGGTATCTAAAACACCGGGAAACTTTTTCGCACTAAAGACCCGGAAAACCTCGCTGAACGCTGCCACCAGGACCCCTGCCGAATAATTCTCCTCGGGATCTGAATCTTCGTCCTCCTCATTTTCCTCGTGCTGGATCATGAGCAGTGACATGTTGCTCAAATCTACCAAGCTAAACTTCAAGCGGAACTCTCCCTCGATCCTGATGGATAAATCAGGGATGATAAACCAAACGCCGAAATTGCCAGTGTCGTCGTTGAGCTTATACGCATTAGACACAAGGTTCCCGATAAGGTTCCTCACGGGCTGTAAAGAGGCATGGGGCCTGCTGTACTGTATGGTTGGTGTTTTAGTGTCGTAGGTCTCGGTGGCCGAGTGATGGGATGCGTGGGGGGCCGGACGTTCGGGAGAGAGCTCGATCTGGTTTTCTAGTTCATCCAAGGGCAGATGTGAGCGGGGTACAGACACGGTCGAGTCCCCAGAGGAGTGTTGGCGGGACTGTGGCGGCGGTGTTACACAACGAACTCTTTGAAGTGCCAGTGGATGTGGAGCATGAAAACCATCCAAAGTGATTGGAAAGTTTGGTTTATAGGAGACGGAGCTGCTGAGTTCGTAGTATACACCATTTACAGTGGCCCCATTCTCATCAGAAGCCTCGGTTTCAGAGCCGCCTTCGGCACGGGCTCGCAGGCCGCTGGCCAGAAATGGCCTACTGTGCAAGCTCGGCGAACTATCTTCTGGATCGTTGTAAAGGCCAGGGGCTTGGTAGGAGGTCTGGATAACGGAAACATTTTCCTTCTGATCCACCGAGTACAATTCGGTAACGAGGATAAGGGGGGAGACGTCCAAGCTCTCCATTTCAAGACGTGTCAAAGACGCCCCGCTGGCAGATGTGACATGCAACTTCACGCACGGTGGAGGGCACACGAGCCGTCTGTCTTTGTCGCTGATGCCACACATTCGGGCCCTTACAGGCTGTTGGACAACTTCCAAGCGATGGGAGTGGGTCATGGGGAGATTTGCGGAGGGGCGGATGGCCTGGTTTTAATGTGAATGTCTTGCTTGGTTATTGCGTTTATACCAAAGAACGGTATAGTAAGGGGTGAACTTGTATAAAATTCTTCCAAACGCTATTGAAGCCCTGTCAATTACTAGATGAACGCTCTCTTAAGGAGTTTAACTTCTCGGTACTTAGTCTGGTGGTACGTTAAAGACCCCTTCCATACGTCTACGACTGTACTATGGGGCCACCGTTTCTTTTTTTCCATGTGGTCGTCGCGAAGTAACGCACTAGGACCAAAGAGGACAGGAAGACTGTGGATGCGGCAGGCGCCAGAAGCACAGGGTGGCTATAAATGCCTATCAGCATGCGGTTCGTCGCTTTCGCATACTCAGAGAAAATTCTTTTATATATCAACCATTCATTTAACTGGTGTAGGGATTGGTGTAGGGATTGTTTATCGGCGCACACCGCCAATATCAAAGCAGAGAACTACTCTTGCGTAGAGCATGAGACGATACGCCTCCATGCAAGGACTGTTTTTAAACCGGATTTCCATGATCAAGTCCTGGCAGCTGACAAGGGATATTTAAAGTGTTAAATTACAATATGGTACAAAAGCCAAATCTATATATGGAGAAGCCCGCCCATCTCTTGAGCTGGTACGGTGCGCCTTATACCGCAGCGAGCAGTATTTCACATCGATCATTCGGAGGCTGGAATCCCAGCTGATGGCATATTTAGCTCATATGTTAGTTAACCTTGCCGTGGCCTAAAAAATCGTAGAGGGTTACCTATACTTTACACCCCTTTCGTAGTTTGACATGCGAGAGAACAAGCAAAAGCACAACCAACACAGATAATTAAACAAGGGTAGGTTGCCGCGAGATTTTGTTTTGGGGTAAGGCTGAAGGAACTTTAGACACATCACGTGTCCGATGTGATGATATACCAGCCGATACACGTACATGGGTGCTTCATATCCCAGGGTTGGAGCGGCTGGATTTAGTAATGCCTATTGTCGAAAAGCTTAACGTATTTTTCTAGGATATTCATAAACCAGGGTTGCTTGTTTGTAGCAAGCCTATCAAGGCCGCAAAACTCCGGAGCACTCTGTATTGTGTGCTCCTTGCCTTTAATTTAATCGTCGTAGCTAGTGCAATGGTCTACGTTTAGTATTGCGTGGCACCTAGACCGGACATTCGCTAGTAAGTAAATTCCGGTATTCATTATCGGAATACACGCACTTTTGGCTACACGGGCAACTGCGTAGATTGTTACTGTATGCGTTTTCTCTCATCAAACGGGATAGAGCAACAGGGCGGGTCTATTGCTCATTTATACTTCGGGTACTACAGGGCATGTACTCCTAAAAACGTAACTAAGTAGGCCGAGCATTTTCGTAAGCCATAAGCCGAGGGGGGATTTAAAGGGACTTGGACTACGGCGCGCTGCACCTTGACACAGATATCTTGAGCAGTGTCTAGCCTGCGGTGTAAGAGTCTGCAGTTTTAGTGAGTTTGAGGCTTTCATCCTAATTGATTATATGGTATAAATCAGTTTCTGTTTCGTCAATTGTACCAGTGGTCTCTCCACACTGCCTAGGGTGCAAGGTGAGTGACGCAGGCGCAGGTGCATACGTCCTGTATGGCATTAAACCCAATTTGAAACTGCATCCTGGTCAAATAAAGATAGTGTGAGGGTCAATAAGGCGGCGATTTAACCCAAAGGGGGATAATTGGTGTCAAGATTAGGAAACTCGGATCCAAGGAGCTCGTCCAATTGGACTACCTCCAAGTAAGTGCTCTTAGGCTCCCCACAAGGACCACGGCTTAGGATCGACAAGGCAGACTTCCACACATGTAAAAAACGCGTAGTAGAATAATAAGCTGATCCAATAATTTTAGTAGGTTCCTCTCCGAATACAGTAGCGAAGCAAGATTTTACCCGGAGTCAAAAATTTCGAGATGTAACTTTTGAAAGTGGAAATTTACACCAAAGTAATGCCGTAAACAAAGTTCACGCCTTGAAATTTTTAGCCCCAGGTGAAATCTCGCTTTAAATCCGTTATCCATTCAACTTCCATGAGGTCGTGGGAACATCGCCAGAACATTCCCTTTTACAGCGGTCAAGTAACGCCATAAAGAACATGCGGCGGTGCAAATGCTATTCAGCAGGTTGGAAGTAAACGGTACTGTGTGTTTGCACAGATGATCTAATCTTGAGACTTTAGGAAAAAAAAACTAGTTTTCGGTTAAAGTCACAAAATGAAGCTTCAGTATAAGATAAATACATATATTCCTCAGAAATACTCCTTTCTCCAAAAAGCGAGTTTACTTTAAGCAGATGGGCCTCAGTGATGTGAATATGGACTCTCCATTGGCTGAAACAATAATCGAGGACAAATTCGAGTCCCTGATCAGAGCACACCGTGATTGCTTATATAGAATTGAGGCAAGTAGGTTCTCCAGTGTCAACCTATGTTTAAGCAGTTTTAATAGCTAATCTTTCCCCATGTTTCATAGATCTTAGCAGATAAAGCCGGGCCGATCTTCTTGTTCCCCACCTCGGTACCAAAGATGTTCTTGAGCAACTGGGTCTTGACTTTTTCCTCCGCGTCTTTGTGCTCCGTGTGATAAAACTCCAAAAGCCGACGTGGGGTCTGGAAACGTTTCTGGATCACCACTGCCTTGTCTAACGACACCCCTCGGATGGTCATCAACATGCGAATGAACATTTCTCGCACGGTAGTGCAGTCAGATTTCGCCATCACACTCAGAAAGATGTCGTAGTTATAAACACACTCCGCTTGCGGGTACTCTGTACGAAAGTTCTGGAGAATCTCCAGGTATAACATCTGGGTGCGGATGTTGGAAGGTTTGAGTACAAGAAGCGGTTTTCCTTGGTACGCCTTGATGATGGTCTGAGTTAAGCGTGCCAAGAACCAGATCGTGTCATCGGCGTCCTTCGAGCGCTTCACAAAGAACTTGGATGTGGTCATGGTCATGGAAATGGCCGTCTGGATCGCCTCTATCATCTGGGTTACCTGTAAAGAGGCAATCTCTTCGATCAAGTAGAAGCAGTTCTGGATTCCCGTGCGCTTCAATCGTGTCTTTTGTTCAGAAAAGCGGCCGTCCCGGATAGACAGCGCCAAATCGTCCAACCTCTTACGCTCCAAAATGAAGTCAAGCACACATTTTTCCCCATTTTTGTGTTCCGCTACCCAAAGGCAGTCTCCCACAGTTAGCTGTGTGGAGTCACAGTCAATGCCTAGCTCCTTGAGCTTTTTCGTGAAATAGTCGCGTTGGCCCATGCTTCGGATCTCACGGTTATCCACGAGAAGTTTGACCGTGTAGTCATCGCTACGCCAGGTTGTGTACCGGGTGCTTCCGAACGATTGATAGACGCAAGGAGACGTAGAAGTAAATGAGGGAACAAGAGGTTCGGGTGCGGTTCCGGAAAGGGGGGCAAAAGCTCGGGTTTGATGCGAAACGTTGCTTTTGAAAGAAGGGCGTGGGGGGGTATCCCAGAGACCGTCCAAAGGATTTTCTATGGGCGGGTTGTCACGAGTTTTTTGATTGCATGTTTGGTTTTTCTTTTCGGTTAGTTCAGCAGGTAATATATCGCTAGCTGGGACTGGATCTTTCTCTGGAAATTCCTCCGACACACAGGCCAAACTCTCAGCAAGCTCTCTTCCCTCCTCGGTCAAATAGTAGTAAACCGGCCTTCCGGCACTCTTCACCAAACCCTTGTTGATGAGCGTCTTCATGGAGTTCCATGCCGAGTAAAACTCCTTGGTCAGGGCATTGCTGTCGAATGTGGCGGTACAGAAAGGTGAGGCCTTGCGTGACAACTCGTCGCGAAGCATTCCAGTCAGTCGCAGATCATATTTGAGCAAGGCAAGGAGCATGGCATAACCGCCCGAGTGCTTTTTGGGAATGTAAGTTCTGGCTTTCCTGGTCTTCTTTGGCGCCGACTCTTCGTCAAACGACTGCTCAAGCTCCTTTTCCACATCGCTGTGTCGACGTTTCGGCTTCGGCACACTGGAGACTTCCCGGAGAAACTCGGGGATATCCACGACACCCGTCTCCTTGCAGTGTTTGCTGAGCTTCGCGGCAAGGTTCTCCACGATTTTAGGACCGATCCCCTTGACTGAACGCAACGCCTTCTGATCTATCACCGGTCCCGGATGGCGCTTCAAGTTTTCTGCCGCACGGCTGAGTGTGTGGCCCATTTTGCTGCCCGTGAGGGCCAAGCGGATGGATTCGTCTTCGAGCCATGGTACGAAGAGGAGCTTGAGATCGCGTGGGAGTTCCATAGAACTGTCTGCAGTCGTGGTAGGGAAATATCTTAGATAATTGCCTTTTGGGGATTCAGCAAATAAAAAAAATAACTTGGAAGAGTGAGGAGAAAGGAAAAGGGTAGAGATAACTCCGTGAGAGGAGAGTTGATTTGAGACCTGTTTTGTAATCTTTTCACACGCAGAACGCGCTTTTCGCGGGGGAAAAAAAAAAACAGCTAACTTTTGAGCTACTCCGTTCGTTATTGCCTATGTTTAAGTAATTGAAATGATAGGGTCAATCAAATTAAATCTCTGCTACTCTAATCTGAAGATATTCTCTAAAAGTAAATTTCATATATACTATTGCTGTGTATGGATAAACTTTTGTAAGTGCAAATAGAATCTATAGGATACAAAATATAACTAACCCTGATAACATAAGGACGAGCTTTCCCGAACCTCACCGCAGTTTTAATGTCGAATCAGCGATTCTTGATTTTAGTACATACGGTAAAGTATATAGCCAGAAATTTTTCATTAACTATCGCGGCTGAACTTATATCATGGCCCTTGCACATTCTACGCATTGTTCACTTATCTGCTCAATATTAGCTCTATAATTACCAGGTTAGAATACGAGACTTAGTTGACAGACTCCTCAGAAATGAACTTTTCGCAGTCCAACGCAGCCATACAGCCGGAACCGGCGGAAGTGATGGCCTGTCTGTAGATCTTGTCCTGAACGTCACCGGCGGCGAAGACACCCGGAATGGTGGTGGAGGCGGTGCCTGGGATGGTCTTAATGTACCCCGTTTCGTCAAAGTCCAACTTTTCGTTCTTGAAGATCTCGGTGGCTGGGTTGTGGCCGATGGCGTAGAACAAACCGGAGACTGGCAAGTCTCTGACCTCCTCGGTCTTGACATCCTTGATGGTCAAAGCGTTCAACAACTTGCCATCACCCTTGGCCTCTAACGAGACGGTTTCGTACAAGATTTCAAGCTTCTCGCATGCAGCAACTCTCTTGGCCATGATGGAGGAGGCTCTGAGGAAGTTCTTTCTTACGATCAAGAAGACCTTGGAGCCGTACTTGGTAAGGAATAAGGCCTCCTCACACGCGGAGTCACCACCACCAATGACAGCCAACGGCTTGTTTCTGAAGATTGGCACGGCACCGTCACAGACAGCACAGGCGGAAATTCCCTGCTGCCAGTAGGTTTCCTCACCTGGCAAATCCAACCTCTTAGCGGAGGCACCGGTGGCAATAATGACAGCATCGGTGGTAATAGGCGCCTCGTCTTCGTTCCATTCAGTCCATAACTTGAACGGTCTGGAGGAGAAGTCAACCTTGGAAATGGTTTCGGTGATGATTTCAGTGCCGAACCTGACGGATTGCTCTCTCATCTGATCCATCAAGGTAGATCCGTTGATCCCAAGCGGGAAACCTGGGAAGTTCTCGATATCGGTGGTGGTGGTCAACTGCCCGCCGGCAGCGATACCGTTAGCCATCATACCCTCGTACATGGTTGGCTTGATCTCGGCTCTGGCGAGGTAGATGGCGGCGGTGTGGGCGGCTGGGCCGGACCCGATGATTGTGACTTGGTTGTGGACCATTCTGATAAAGGCTGTGGGTTTAGAAGTTCTTAGTTGAAACAACGTGAAGATAACGAAGAAGAAGAGGCGTGGTTAATATATACGCCAGAAAAAGAAACTCGGAAAAGCGAAAAGTTGCAGGCCTTAGTAATGCGTGTGGCCGATAAAGTTCTGGCCGAAAAGTCCACGCACGAAACCGAGAACGGCTGCACGTGCGGAAGGGTGCCCAGAGAGGTGATTAGAAATATGCCAAACAGTGAATTGGAATGGCATAACAAAATGGGGTCATAATAGACTTTTTTAATAGATATTAATTATAATTATATCACCTGGATGGATAAGGGTAGATGCTGATCCAAGAAAGGAGGGGGGATCAGCCATTTTTAATTCACCTGGCTCACTTCTAATACTCTATGTGTGAATTTTCCAATATTGTGGCATATTTCTAGATGATCGATTGGATGGGAATCATTTTTAAAACCAAATGACGTACGTTTCTTGGTTCAGTATCTACCAAAAGTGCTAGTCTGTATGGGAAGCTTACGTTCTATACCTCAATTTGTCATCTCCGGTGCCTGGGCCTGGAACGTTTGCGGCGGCATTAACGCTTGGCATGAGACACCGACTTCTTTTTTCTTTAACACGAGATTACAGCTGTATGAGCCACAGTCTTTTTTCGCAGCCGTATAAAGGGTTATACGCCACCCCACACTACCTCTATCCGCGATGACTCTGCACCGCCACGCCCCCGAGTCTCTAGATCCTATTTTGGGGGACGCAAACGGGTGTGTTATCCTGTAATAAGCCGACTATAACATTCGGATAATTAGATTGAGGGTTGGCCTGGGTTCACCCAGAATAAGTATTAGCACCCGATGTTATATCCCGCGAGTGATATGGTGTGTTACCAGTTGTACTTAATTTGGAGATGGAATTGGAAAACGGCCTAAAAATGATGAACTTTCTCGATATATCGCAGAAGTGCACACATATTGAGCTTATATAATCATGAAATTAGCATAAATTCAGCGCTCAAGAACAAGAGAAGTGGCTGGGGCATGTTCAATGAGTGAAGAACGGCAAACCAGCAAATGCTACACCTTCGCTGAGGTCACCTAAAACTAGCTGTATAGTTATGTTTTAGCCGTGCCCTTACCGTTTATTCAACATGCTATTAAATCTTTTTTTCCAACTTTTGCGTTCGTGTACCGTTTCGGCCCCATATTACTGTTACCCGCCCAGTGGGTTTTCCATTTGAAAAATTCACTATGAAGCGGTATTAATCAGACCCTGTTACACCCTCAAACCACACACTGTCAAAATGGGTAAGGGTAACTTGAAGTTCGGCGGTAAGTCTGGTGTCTTGCCCCCAACACGCATTATTTTCAAGCAGCCATACAAGCAGGCGCAAATTCCGGCTAGAGTTGCGGAAGAGGGCTACGCCGATGACAGATTCGTGCCTAAGCACACCTCTGCGTGGCCTAAGGAGAAGAAAATCGTCAGTGTGGATGAAAAAATCCAGAAGTATGCCCCAGCTAACGGTGCTGCCAAGGCGGCAAAGTTGGCCAATCTCCATTCTTTGCCAGAGCACGAGCAGTGGAAGTTGAAGAACACCGAGGTCAGAAAGGAGTACTATAGACATGCCGTGAAGGAGGAATTCTCCAAGTTGGAGAGAGAGGAGAAGATTGCCGCGCACAAGCAGAAGCGCGTGGAACAGCTCAAGCTCAATAAGGAAAACTCCGAAGACTCCCCAGCCGCGCTCTTGACCCTCCCGACCATCGACAACATCTTGAACCAACCATTGATGAGACAGCGTACCGCTGCGGAAAATGCCACGTTGAAAGCCAAAAGAGAGGCCAACAGATTGCATCACAACCTCCAAACCGCGGAATACCGCGCGCAGAAATTGTTAAGGTTGTACAACTCCAGTGACAGCTTCATCGTAACCGCCGAGGATTTGGACCTTGCGATCAATAAGGCGTTCGAAGAAGACGCTAACTTAGTCTCCAACTTGACTCACTCTATTAACTCCAGATTGAATGCACTCAACCCGTTGGAGGAGGTTGTCAGCGAGGCCCATATCATCAGCAAGTTGACCGGTTTGAACGACTCCGGTGACTTGTCCGTTGCCGATATCGATGACGCCTTGTCGGGCCATATGAATTCGATTAGACAACAGGCCTTCGAAGCTGTGAATAAGCAAAGAGAGGCTGAGAAGCCGTTGTACTGAGTGGTTCTGCCTCAGTGTAACTAGCGGGGTAGTGTGTATAAAAGACAGGTAATGAGTGTATATAGTTTTCTCTATCGTGGACGAGTGTAGAAAGGTAATTGTACGTTCTAACTGATTTATTAAAGTTTCAACGTATTAGGATCACTTGACGTCCAGACGGCAGCTATATCATCTCCATTTAGATAATCACGAGTGATCGACCGGCTTAACTTTTGGAGCAATATTCAAACGACGTGATGATTATCGTATTCAAAATTAAACATCCTTTTGTAAACGAATTTGTGTGGAGCTACTAAAATTTAAAGATATTTCCATTCGTTGAAGATATTCTTCCGGGGCATGTGCAAACCTGGTGCATGAAGACGCAGGTTAGAAAAGGTCATAACTAAAGAGCAGGCTCTAGAACTCACACTATCTAAATTGTGTAATTGAATCTGACTGGCTGGTGCCTACTGACACGTTCAAAGGGGAATATAAAATGTTTCTCGCTAAGTCCTTATATGTAGCTAGTATCACGAGTACTGGTGGACCTGGTATCCAATGAAGGCAGCCAATCTAACTAATACCAGCGTACTTGAAGTGTATGACTTGACACGGTCGAATAAAACCCCATTCTAGGGAGAGTGATCTATCATGTATAACTGAGAGAAAACAACTTATTCAAGTGAGTCATCATCCCTGGATATTCCACAAATAGAGCATTATCTCACGGTTAAGGCGTAAGGTCCGGGCTAGCCTGAGGTCCGACCTGCGTTATATATATTTTTTCTCAACTGGCATCTCACAGATGAGCAGAACACACGAGCAACACACAAACAACGTACTTAAAGCGCATAAATTTAGCACAAGTAAAGAAGCCTATAGTATAACCAAACTCACTAAGCAATAGCAGCTCTTATTTAAGCCCATTTGCTCGCTACGCCACGCTCGTTACGCCTGCTATGCTACACGCTCTCCGTTTCTCCACCGCCACTCCCACGCGGCTCGCTAAACCAACGTTCAGCTTCCGCTCGATCCTAGAACAAAAAACTGATTACATCAATGCCGCCACCAAGCGCGGACTTTTACCTGACGTCATTGCCTCCATCCATAGCCTTGATGGGCTACACCATGACTACGCCACGCTCCGCGCCGAGGTCAGCCGCCTTAAGGGTTCCAGAAACACCCTTGGCAAAGAAATGAAGGATAAATCACTCAACCCGGACGTCAGAGCCAGTATAGTGACCCAGCTTGGCCAGTCTAAGACCGTTCTTAAGGACTTGGAGGCTCGACTCAAAACGTCGGAGCACGAATTGTACGCAGTGGCTGACAAATTGCCGAACTTAATCGATGCCTCCACGCCAACTGATGGTAAACCCAAACTCGTCCGCTGGATCAACGAAAAACCGACAAAAACCATCCCGTTATCCCACAGAGACATCGGGGAGAAACTCAATCTCCTCGACTTTATCACTGCTGCCCAGGTTTCCGGCGGCTCCTGGTACTATCTCTTGAACGACGGTGCCTTGCTCGAGCAGGCGCTTATCCAGTACGCCATTTCCAAGGCTCGTGCCCATGGATTCCATATGGTTGTGCCACCATCCATCGTCAAACAGTCGCTCGTCCACGCATGTGGCTTCCAGCCGCGCGATCAGGGCGGAGAGCAGCAGGTGTACCAGCTTGCAGGACCAAATGAGGGACTCAGTTTGACCGGGACCGCGGAGATCCCGCTTGCGGGGCTAGGGTTGGGACGCACCTTTGAGAAGGAAGCACTTCCGGTAAAGTATGTCGGGGTCAGCCGTTCCTACCGAGCCGAAGCCGGTGCCAGAGGCAAAGACACCAAGGGTTTGTACCGTGTTCATGAGTTTACTAAGGTGGAGTTGTTTGTGTACTCGACGCCAGAACAATCGACTCAGTTGCTAGAAGATCTTCTCCAGTTCCAGATCGAAATGATTGAGGAGCTTGGTTTGACTGCCAAGGTCTTGGACATGCCATCGAATGATTTGGGTGCTCCAGCGTATAAAAAGTATGACATCGAGGCCTGGATGCCCGGCAGAGGTGATTTCGGCGAGGTAACCTCCAGTTCCAACTGCACCGACTACCAGTCGCGTCGCTTGGGCGCGCGTTTCATCAACCGTGCGGGCGCTAACCAGTTAGACTTTGTACACACCTTGAACGGGACCGCCGTTGCCGTTCCCAGGCTCATAGTCGCCATCTTGGAAAACTTTTACGACGAAGCAACCGAGAGCGTGGCCATCCCAGAGGTGTTAAGGAAATATATGGACGGGAAGGACCGCATTGTGAAGTGTTAATAAATCGGTGTCTTGTATTGTCTCAGTATTCTGCCATCAGTAGAGTGGTTTGTATATAGTCTACGAATCTCACGCATCTAGAAACTTTTACCGTAGCCAGAATAGTTTCTCGCTAGCGCTTTTAGAAACATCACATAGAGGGATAGCTAAACGAACTTACAAGCCATTCATCCATTGCGGTCTACCTAGTATTATAAATCCGTATCTCGACCATGTAGGATGCTTGTTGATTTGGCACCTTCAGCGTCTTTATCTTAGTTTACATAGGTTGCACTAGAATGGTGGAAACTTCTCCTCCATCTCTGGCACACACTTCTCCAACTCGGACTTTTTCAAGAGCATAATGCTCAACTTCGGATCGATCCCATAGTCGTTGAACACGCGTCTGGCATCCGGGGTCATGACCTCACCGGCTTTGTCGTAGGCAAAGGTGCCCTTGAAGAGGGCATGCAGCTCCAAAACCATGTCTTCGTAGTGGTAGTAGTCCATCTCAGGCGCTGCGTTTTCTGCAACCTTCTTTTTCTTCTTCGGGGCGTCGTCGTCATCCATGGTACTCTTGACCATCTCGTAGACCTTGGAGACCACCACAAAGTGGTCAAACGCATACTCCTCATTATGCGCCTCCTCCGCTGCCTGCAACTCACTACTCAACAACTTGTACATCGGTGGCACCACCTCCACCGGCATGTTGATCAAGCGCTCGCTGACGATGAGTCCAACCTTGAACTTGGATTGTGGCAACAAGAGCTTGCGCAAACTTAAATTAAATGCGGTCTGCTTCGCTGTCTTCCTAAGGAGATAGTCGTTGATTGTCTTGACTGCCTTGTTGCTGTGGTGCTGTGTCATGTTTATGACCGAGAGGAGCGCGAAGGGGTCACTCTCCTGGCCGTCGGTCTTGATAGTCGTTCCTATGCAGCCATCCTGTAAGATTAAGTCTGCCAACTGGGAGATATCGAAGTAGTTGGCATCATCACCAAACAACTGACGGATAAAGTTCTTGGTGGCGTGGAAATCCACGGTCGGGTTGAGGTCAAAGTAGTCAAAATCAACGTCTACATTGTCCTCCACCCCCTCTTCTAATTCTTCGTTTTCGGAATCGGTCGACGACACGTCGATTTCGGAATCGGACTCGTCAGCTCTTCTCTTGGCCATTGTGGTGTGTATGTTTGGTTGCTGAAAAGGCGAAGAAAGGAGAAGCCAGAGTCGGTTTATAGCCGCGATTTTTCAACCTGCACCAAACGAGAAAATATTTCCAAGCCGCACAGATATCCAGTATAACTATTACGATAACTGTTTCATTTGCACTGCAGTTTACCTTCACATTGTATTACCACTACATAGCCCTTGTGCTAATTCGGCTGTATCAAATTACCTCTTACTTCACAGTCATTCATTAATATGTCATTAGTTCATGGTTACTCTTCATCCGAGGACGAAACAGATATTCCAGCCCTCGTTTTGGGCCAATCGGTAGATCCTACGCCGGTGGCGGCTGTAGTGGTTCTGGAAGTTGCACGCCCCAGTGCCAAGCGCACGTTTGCTTCCACAGTTTCTACCCACCACTACGACGATGCTGTGTTCAACATCCAGCATCGTGACTTCGACCGTGCACGCGTACAGCCCCAAACCAGACAGCAGAAGAAGCTTGCAAAGCGCCAAAGAGAAAACGGCCCCTTCGGGCACTCCTCGAGCAGCGAGGAAGAACAGGAAATTGTTGATGAAGAAGAGATTGAAGACTCCCTTCCGGTGCTCGAAAGCGACCGTGAAAGCGACGGTGACAGTGACAGTGCCACCACCAAATTCTTTGGGGAGTCCGAGGTGGATTACCTCGGACGAACATATATGCACGTTCCAGTGGATTTCCCGAAAGTACACGCACGCGAGTGCTTCGTGCCGAAAACGTGTAGCTACGTGTGGCGCACGGCACACGCGCGTGGTGTCAATAAACTCCTGTTCTTTCCCTCGGGGCACTTGTTGTTGAGCTGCGGGAACGACGCGACAGTCAAGCTCTGGGACGTCAGCTCGAAAGAGCTCTTACGTGGATTCTATGGTCACACCAAACCCGTGAAGAGCATCGTTTTCAATGCTTCCGGCTCTGACTTTATCAGCTGCGGCTACGACCGTAAAACCCACGTCTGGGACGTGGAGACGGGGGTGCTCAAGCACACGTTCCACACGCGCGGGATCCCCAACGCGGCGCTTTTTAACCCTAATAGCGAGCTGGAACTCATTGTCGGTTGTTCTGACTCCAAAATCTACCACTACGATACGCGCTCGCCGCCTGACTCGCAGATCATCCAGACTTACGACTACCATTTGGCGTCTGTACAATCCTTAGTGGCAATCGATGGTCAGACGCGCTTTATGTCCACCTCAGAGGACAAGTCCGTGCGGATGTGGGACTGGGGGGTCAACGTGCCTGTGAAGAACATCTCGGATCCCGCGCAGTTCAACATGCCGTGTGTTGCACTCCATCCCAAGGGTGATCATGTGGCGTGTCAGGGGATGGACAACAAGGTCCACACGGTGCTGACCACCGGAAAGTATCGCTTGAATCGCCGCAAGTACTACACAGGCCACCAGTCTCAAGGCTACAATATCGGTGTGGGGTTCAGCCCCGACGGTAAGACCTTGATGAGTGGCGATTCTCGCGGTCGCGCGTGGTTCTGGGACTGGAGCAGTGCCAGGGTGGTGAAGAGCCTCCAGGTTGACCCCAAAGGTGGGGTTGTGAGCTGTGTGGCCGCAAACCCGCTGGGCGTCAGTGAGTGTGTCTTTGCTGGTGGGTCTGGCGATATATACTATTATGAGTAAGGAATGAACGTATAACTGAGGAATAGGCGAGCTTCTGGCGTCTCAATCTGGTGTAAAAGCTTGGAGTCTGGAGATGCTGGACTTTCTCGACTCTCATTCAACGCGTATTTTGGTTACCTTTAGATACGGTTAATAGCATGGCTAGAAATACACATCCTGATAGAAAAGTTTAGTGTATACTTTCCAACCAAGATCTTGGAGGCCATTTCCAGTGTTCCAAAGCTGATGGTGGAATTCAAATGGGAAATGCCTTTTACTCGGTAGAAGTTCATTATGTAAATTATTAGCCTGACTTTATTCTCTCCGCTTATGTCCAATAAAGATTATAGTCTGCTTTTCTCTCTGTTCAAACCTAACCTACCATTTTGCATCAATGGCTATCTTTAATGGAGATTCGAGTTTCATTTTTTTAAAGGGTTGAACTGTGGCATATTTTCAAAGATTTCCCCAACTCTCTTTTATGAACTCTTTCGAGATCGTAGTTTTGTAGGGCTTTCCGTGTTAAATCTAGCAGCTAATATCCACTTCTGATTCTTACTTCCAACAGTTGCTGTTTAATATATCAAAGATTTAGTATACCAGTTTTGAACCTACCTGTACGCTATCGATAACTTCACCTACGATACTGGCAATTAGGAAAAGACCTGTTTATGAGTAGAAAGCAATGCACCTTTGCTGAACAAAACAGTTTTCCACAAATCTTACAGCCAACTAAACGATCACCAAATTTGATATTGTTGTGTTTTTTAATGCAAAATAGAAATAAAATAGAGGTAATAAAAATTTAGAAAATAAAAAGAGAAAGATATACAAAACGATAAACGTTGATAAGATTACAAAAGTGCAAGGGGAAACCAAAGTAAAAAGTAGGGGAATGGAGGGGATATGACAAGAGCCAAGACGTTTAAGCCTTAGACTTCTTCTTCTTCTTTGGAGACTCGCCTTCATCACTCTTAGAACGCTTCTTGTCCTTCTTTTCCTTCTTTTCTTCCTTCTTTTCCTTCTTTTCCTTCTTCTCCTTCCTTTCCTTCTTCTCCTTCTTCTCCTTCTTCTCCTTCCTTTCCTTCTTCTCCTTCTTGGATTCCTTTTCTTCGTCAGAGGAGTCCGTGTCAACGTCTTTGTCAGCCGCCATAGTGGCGCCCAACGACAAGGCTTGCTGGATGGCGTCAGCGTTCTTCATTGGTTTGGCACCGGTGTCGTAGAAAGCCAATCTTTCTTCGACCTGCTTCTTCAAGATAGCACCGAAAGCGGTGGTTGGCTCGTCAGAGTAGTTATCAATTCTGGAAGCAATGGAACACTTATTAGCCAAGTATCTGGAGATTCTACCCTTGTTCTTCTGGGAGGCCTTACCGATGAAAGAGGAGTGGTAGATCAACCCATACTTTGGAGTGTTACCCTTGGTCTTCAAGGCTCTGAACAAGGCCTTTTCAGCACCCAAGATCTGGACGGTGGAAGCGGCCTGCTTGGACAAATTGGTCAAAGAGCCGGCATGAGAAATCAATCTGGCACCGACAACTTCACCAATCAACTCAGACAAGTTTGGAGCAACGGTGTGCATCTTGTCGGTCAAGTACTGGTACAACTTGGTTCTGTATTCAGAAATGGAGACGACACGGGCAGCAAAAGTGCTACAGTTCTCCATGTCCTCTTCGGAAATATCCTGACCCATGGAGATTCTGGCGGCGTCAATGACTCTTTGGGCAATGGCGGCGTCGTCCTTAACAACGGCGGCAATGTCGTGCAAAGACTCATCGTTCAAGGAAGCCTTATCCTTAATGAACAAGGCCAACTTGGCGTAGGTGTAATTGTCTGGAGTGATCTTGGCCAACTCTGGGAAGTGCCAGCCGTACCATTCCTTCACTCTCATGGCAAAAGTGTTGATGTCCTTATCCAACTGGTCCAACAAGGCAATAGCCTGGATGATGTGGTTGTCGTTTTTCTGGACAGAGAACTTCACCTTAGCTCTGGAGTAGGCGTGACCCAAACCCAACTGGGCTCTCTCTTCGTCACCGGCGTGCAATTCCTTCAAGATCTTGAACCCGTGGTGTCTGATACCTCTCAAGAAGTCCTGAGCGATTTCAGAGGAAATACAGTCAACCTTTGGGAAGTTTTCCTTGATAGATGGACCCAAGTTCTTATCGGAGATACCCAAGTTGATCTTGTTCTTGGTTGGCAAGTTCAATTCCAATACAGACTTTAAGTAGTCAGAGACCAAACCCTCAGAAACGTCGTTAGCATTTTCCAAAGCCTGGGCGGCACCTTTGAATGGAGCGAAGGAGACCAACTCAATCATCTTGGAAAACTTGGACAAGTCGCTGGCAGCTTCTTGCACTTCCTTCAATCTGGAACCAATGTCATCTTGCTGAATCAAGACCTTGAAAATAGCATAACCAGTAGCTTCTTCGTAAAGAAGATAATCGAGACCACCAGCCATTGTAAATATGAATGTATTCTTAATAAAAGGTTGGGAAAGGAGAAGCAGAAAGGAAGAAATAAGTAGGAGTAACCGTACTAATACAAGGCAGGTCTTTTGGATTTTTCGACTTCCTCATCTCTGAAATTTTTTTTCGCACTACAAAATTTTCTTTTTTCCTCCTGCGCAGAAGCCCATAAAAAATTTTCCTTCCCGATCAGACAGTTTAAGCATAAGTGTATCGACGGGTTGCAGCACCGGGCTGTTCTGTGTATAAGGAGCACGTGAGCATACAAAAAGTGTTTGTATGGCAGCTTGACTATAAATCCGGGGATTGGCTTCGTTTATAGGTACTGGAACTTTCTCGAGCCCTTCTTAATTCTGTAAACATCCTATCAGATTGGACTAGCAATAGTGTAAATCCATCTTTCGTATAGTCACTACCAGGCGCGAAGCTTAGAAATGCAGAATCACAGGTATCCAGTTCAGCCCACTGACCCCACAGGCAAATGAATGTGCGAGGGCCTGAGTTTCTCGATACCATCGAGGACAACTTTTTTTTTTATTCCATCTCTCGTAGTCTCTCTTAAAAATAAAAGCTGTTGAGTGGAGATCCTGGTTTACCCGTAATACGGGGTTACCAATTTGAGCATATTATACCCTAAAAGGGAAATAGGTTCCAGCCCTAGACTACATAAGCACATAGCTATATAAATAGAGGATTATTCCCGTATCCTAATCTCAAATATTGTGTGTTGACTGGCAAAAGTGGAATCATACACATTACTATAGACAAACAAATCCTTTTATGCAAAGCTCAAATCCCAGTCCAACCGCTTGACAATCGAAAACCAATCAATGATTGTGTCCCCGTTTGGATTTTTCGACCACACCTTTTCCATCACACTCTTGATTCGTTGGATATTCCCTGCCTTGCAGTCCTTGTACAATTTCTCGAACCGTTTACGCATGGTGTTCCGGTCAGTTTTCGAGACGCAGTTGATCCCAGCGATGAAGATAGGAAAGCAAAGGGAACTGTTCAATGGCGTGGTTATGATCACGTCAATGTATTTCAACGCATCGTGCAATAGCATCTGAGTCTCCAAGCACGAAGAATTAATTTTGAGGATTGACTGTCTAAGGTGGAGCTTAGCTGTTGCTTGCATCAATTCAAATAAGGTCAACTGCCATTGGAGATTCGCACCACTGATAGTCGCCAAGCTGTTAGCTGTAGGTTTGCATTTGTCGATTTTAGCTTCCAAGATTTTAGATCTTTGCAAGGCGAAACGAATCACATCCTGTTTGTTAATCTCGTCATTCTCCAAAATACTGTGGCCATTGTATTCATGGGTTTCTTCTGGGAATCCACCGAACAAAGACTCAAGTTTAGCAAAGGAATTATCCTGGTTGGGCTTTTCGGGTGGCATGCCGCCGTCGTCCAAGGATCCGTATACCCTGTTTAAGAGCGATGATGGAGACTGGGGTCTCATCGGTTGGAAGCCACAGTTGGGATCGTCATACATCGAGTAGCCAGTCTGAGGGGCGGAGTTATTACGAGGGTCGTTTCCGGTGTTTTTTGGAGAGGTCTTGCTACTAGACGAGGAATTGCTACCACTATCGTCATATTGCAAGGAAGACCGGGTGCTGCAGGTGCTGCCATCCGGTAACCAATGGCTGCCCTTTAAAACCTTCTTTACCTCAAGACTAAACGTGGAAATTTCACCAATGACATTGAATAAGGGTTTGCAGATCCCATGGAGTGGGTTTACGCCCGCCATGCTGTGTGGCTGCATGGCGTTAGTGTGAGAAAGGGTCCTACCGCCCCCTTCAAAATCCAAGTCATCATAGTCTTCAATGGGGAAATATGTGCCCCTCTCACTGATGGAAGATGCCATGACATCATGGTAGGCGAAATTTGCGGCTAGCCACTCCTGGTCTGAATCGCCACTGTTCTTCAAGTGGTGCAACCCTCCGATATTGTTCTTGATCAACGCATACGCCCATGCCAAATACACACTCCACTTCTTGACATCACCATGGCAGATTTCGGCACTGGAGAGAATCAACAAATTCGCTAGCTTGATGATCTGGCTATTGCGCGCGGACGCCTTAGGCGTTCCCGTGGTGTTCGCTTGCTGGATATGCTTTAGGGACATTTCAGTATACCTCCTTCCCTGTGACTCATACTGCTCTCCCCCAAGATGAAAAGCGGACCAAGCGATGATGGCATATAAAACCCCCTTATCCACGTGGGCCATTGGCAAAAAGGTCTTTAAATAGAAGTTCGCTTCCGGCTGAGGGATAATGCACACCATTTTGGCAACCTTGTCTCTGTAGTGTTGATACAATGCCACCCCCACTGGATCGAGCGACTGAGACAACGTTTTAGATACCGAGGGTTGAGAGTATATCGGGTAATCAAACTGGCCAACATATCTTTCCTGGCCAGCATGTTCAGATGGTGGTAGTTGGAGAAACCTGGACATTGGAGAAGCACCCGCCGCCTCAAAACAAGTCCCCTCGGGGTGGGAATAGTCCATGATCCAGGAGAGCGACATTGGGGACGAAGGGTATGATAAATAACAGGTATCAGGGATCTCGTGTGGTTCGTTGATTTCTTCAATTTCCTCAGCTTTCTCAGGAAGGCCATTCACTGCCACCGAATCCTGAACCGGGCCGTTGGACGTGTCAGGTGCGTATTGGAACTCACGCAATAACGATGTTGGCAGCATGTGGGCTGCGTGGTGGTGACCTTTCCTCAAAGAGGTCGAGCCACCCTTGCTAAAATCTTGAAGGTTTAAGGCTGAAGGGGACGGGGTGATTCCAAAGTGAATTCCCTCGTCGTCTGGTTTAGAGTGCAGGTTTGTGCCGCTGTAGAAGAATGGGGAACCAGTCTGCGGATTCAAGAGAGGAGACAAGCTGGGTAAGGGCAGTCCAGTTGTAGCAAAAAACGGAGAAAATAGGGATGCCTCTGGGTTCCCTTCATTCCCACTACCCGGATTTTTCGATCCCGGAACCTTCGTTCTCTTGCTCGCCCTTTCTTTTTCGGGCATTTCATCTGGGTTCTTGATGCTGTGCGCTCGTTTCCGAGTTTTGTTTCCATCTTCGAAGGTTTCCACTTTGCGCTTCAAATCCTGGATCTCGCTCTCTGACATGTCTTTTCCCACCCACACGCATGCTTTGCCCAATCGTTGGCAGTCACCACAGGTTGGCCTTAACTCATCACACTTTTTCTTGCGAATCTTGCATGTGACGCACCCGGACTTGGAGCGTCTCTTGTGAGTTCCGTTGTGGTAGTCGAATGTAGTGGAAGAGAGGCTCGTTGGGGTATCCAGCGATGGGTTTACGTAGAATGAAGACTGGAGGGCCATCTGTGACGATAGATCTGCTTTGGTGGTAATAGGTGCAACAAATATATGGTTTTGTGGAGTTGGAACCAGCAGGGAAGAGGCCGAGTCAGACACTGGGTCCTTTTTTCTGTGACTCTGGGAAGGTGCTTTCTGAGGGGATGCTTTCTGAAGGGATGCTTTCTGAAGAGATGCTTTTTGAGGGGATGCTTTCTGAAGTTTGTCGGTTTTGGCATCGTTATTCACGAATGTCATCAACATCGGGTATGATTGTGAGGGTAGAGGGTTTAGTAAGGTTCTGAGTGTGATTTAGCTGTACCGTGCAAAAAAAAAGGGTAAAGACGGCCTAGATCGATGATTTAATCTTAATTCGTGATGTTGGATATATGTTCGCGATGAACTTTTTGGCTCTTTTTTCTGTTTGTTGGAAGTGTGACGCGGGGATCTGACTAAAAACGGTGCGGGGAGCTGAAACGGCGGCGGAGAGAAATTGGGCGGAGATAAACTTTGACAGCTGTATGACGGAGCGTTATTGGAGCTGCTCGACGGGAAACGTTTTTCAAAATTCTCCATGCAACGACTTTCAGGATATTTAAATCGTCTTACTCTTAATCAGCGTGAAACCTAACGATATTAGGTGCTGTTCTTGAGCTCTATCTTTAATGCGAAACGGTGGGCGGGGGCGCAAGAACAATCTTTCAGTTTCCATATCCGGAAAACGTGCGTCTGTATATGTCTATTTGATGTGCTTTTTAATATAAACTGTCCAACTTTCCAAGTTCTAGCCGGTGCCGTATAATCTTTTATCTCCAGTATCAAAGCCCCGGTACACAGATCACCCTATTAACATCTACAAAGCCTACAAGTTATGATTCGTTGTTACGTAAGTAGGTTTAATTTGGTGCCTGTTCTGGAAACATTTAGGGCGGGCAGTACTGTGCCTTCGAAGAGAGACTAGTAACCATCGTCCTGAGAGCGCCACTCCGTATCAGCTAGGCAAGACGCTATGCTTTCGGATAATTCTAATTGAGGTAAGAAGTAAAAGATGGCTCATATTACCAGAGAAATATATAACGGTGACCTTTGGCGTCGTAACTGGGTTTCTGGCGCCATGACGTGCATGGTCCCTTTTTGATGAGTGATGTTTGCACCACCTGGGGAACAGAGAGTTCGCTGTGGCCGTCTGTGTACCAGGTTTTTGCTCTAGACTGATCAAAGTCTCCAACAGTCACCAGGACGTTGTAGAAGCACATACCTCAATTATAGACAATAAATCGTTCTCGACACATGGCTCTTTCGCCGCGGTCAAGGTACTCTATTCGGCAGTGGCCAATTAGGCGATAAACCCCCATTTTATCCGACAAACGGTTTAATACCCCGATGTAAAGTAGCATTGATGATTCTTTATCCAGTGACGGAATTTTAGGAAATGAGGTGACAAAAGTAGTAAAGGTTTAAGCAAGTGTATGAATTTCGACATCACAAAGTGCACCCTTTTCCCTATGGTATTTCTAGGTTTGGTGGGTTAGGCATGTTAAAGTGTTGGCCCGGGTGGGTGTTGCAGCTCTCGACCAGCAGGTTCTATCTAGGAAGAGCCAAGAAATCATATTTGACATAGATCTCCGAAATCATGGTGCTTCCGCACATTTTATAACCAGATGGGTATACGTCTTGTGGGTAGGATAGCCGATATCAGTGTCAAACCAACAAAACACAGTGTCAAGCTACAGATGCGAAAGAGTAGCTATTTCGAAGTGAACGACGCCCAACAAAGTTGGCACAGTACTACCCATTCCTCATTCTTTTGTCGTTTAAATCTAGCAGACTGGCACTTCCTAGTCCATAGAGGGCACAGCAAGGAATGATGCACCCCGCTCTCCCAAAATATATGACGCGCAGCAAACTTCCCGCATACAACTGTGACGTATAGTAAGTCAGGGCACAGTACTAATATGCTCGCATTCCAACTTTACTAACCACGATATCACCCACTGACAATTGAAGTCTAGAAAGCGAGCGCGTTACATTAAGCAACTCTAATATTTCCAACAGATCGGCAGAATGCGGCACTTCCGAAAGACGTTGCCCTTCGGGTTTCTAATATCACACGGAGTTTTGTCATTGCTCGTGCATACGAGGAATTTTCTGGCTTATAAAAAAAAACATCCTGACGGTCTAGGAGATTTCTTGGAAAAGAAATGTTGCTCAATAAAATGAAACGCCATCTGTGCTATGCCGCGCAGTATAGCGGTTTGTGGGTAATTCACATGTACGGTTTCTGTAGGTTTCTTTTTCCCTAGCTCCCACGCTTATCATATGCAGGCGTTTCTTTTGCGCGTAAATGACTTGTTTTTTGGCCGGTATGGCGCAACCAAGATTAAGCACTGTCTGTTGACACATCTTTATCTCTAACCGATACGCTCGTACATAAATAATTCCGATACGACGCCTTCTTTCTCGGACTTCAGATATATCATAGGATACACCTCCGCTGTACCACTAAAATATCTGGCTCTGATAACAAACAAGTGCGCTTGCTTTACTCCCAGCCATCCAGCCTACACCGATCGAGGTAGCACGCGGTGATAACGCCCTTATCGACAAAAGACCACGCCACCAAACCCACACAGAAAGACCGACCAAAAACATACTCTATTATACCATAACCCAGAAAAGTTTACCCGCTAAGGTGTAACCTATTCGTATAACTACCATGAACGTTGGTCATTCGCAGAAGGTGCACAAGCCCGCTCAACAGCAACCCACCGCCCGGTCCCTCTCCCCCTCTCCCTCCTTCTCGCAACTCGGTAGTGTCTTGTTATCGCAACAGATCAATGTGAATGACTCTTGGGTTCTCTTTGGCAGTGCTAACTCCGGTGAAATCATCATTCCTGCAGTTTTCCAAGAGAGAGGCGAGCTCGAAGCAAAAAAAACCGGCGAGCAGTTCGAATACGAAGAAGACGATGACATTCTATCTTCAAGCTACTGTATTTCAACAAAGTACCCCGAATCACTATTGCATGGCAACCTTGATGAGAGCGACACAAACGAAGAAGTGGCTGTGGGGGAAGACAATGATGACGACGATGAGTTGATTGATACTTTTGAAGAGGTTGCTCTTCAATTATCTTTTCCTAACCATAATGGAAGAGGGTCCTTCTCTACACCCACCAAATGCGGCGCATCTGAGGCAGAACCAGAAGCTACCCCAGTTGCTACGTCAGCTTGCGCGCAGAAAAGAACAAAGGAGGATCTTCAAACTCGCATTCAGAAATGGCAAGATACTGATTTGGTTTTTGATGATGGTACATACTCCCTTATTTCCGAGACTCCCAAAGAATCTGAAGCACCGCCGTTGCTTAAGGGTATTTCACTCCGCAGGCCTAGTTTGTTGGACCAAAGAAGACCCTCAAGGGATGATAATGTTGCCTCGTGGAATGTGAATGATGAGTTGGAGCAGCACGTGGTTACACGCCCTTCCCCCTCTCGTGGCGAAAAATTGGCAGGGGAAGGTACTTCCCACCCCACCCGTTCCAAACGTGTGTACGGTGAGGAAGTTTTGAGAATCTACTCACCCAAGGATATCGCCAAAATCAAGAGAGTTGCGCAAGAATTCTCTACCTCGTTGAATAGGGGCGGTGCCGGCACTGGCCCCGGCATATCTCATCGCCGTCACCACCATCCAAGTCGTCACGGTTTGCACAATATGAGCCAACACGCCCAGCCCGCAAATACTCCGAGGATTACATATTCGTCGCTACTCCAGCAGCAAATGCAGAAGCATTCTGCCATTACGCATCAAGGCTATTTGAATGAATTCTACTCGCCGTGTATCAGAAGTTCCGGGGCGGGATTTGGTTCCTCGTCATGGAATAGATGTGGCGTTGACTCCAGAACTTCGTTTCTCTGGGAAGGTGGTAGGAGGGAAGGCGAATTCGAGATGGATAGCTTTTCCTCATCTATAAGCACCACAACTGCAAGTACGGATCAATATTATTAGTATGAATTGATCTGTCTTTGCAGATGGCTGAGATATCAAATGGACATGAAATTGGACTAAACCTATAATAATAATGATATATTTCAACCATGATAATTACTATAGTTCATATTAGGCGACGCGTGTTAAAGATTTAATCTCGCAGATATTATGCCATTTACCAAGAACTTGTCAACGTTAGGACAGGTAGCCAGTTGTAAAAATATTTATTTCCAAGTTTTTGAAAACTATGTTTACGCTAACATTGGAATTGATTAGTTATAAAATGAAATTATGTATATATGTGAATATCTAATTTCATATAGACACCTCCTTTATATATACCTGTATAATAGCCTTCAAAGATTCTTTAAGCTATAAGGACTATTTTTTTTTAATAACGATGATAATACTGACATAAATATTTGCATATACGAGTAATTAAAAGCGAATATATTGTGGCGTTGGTGCTTCTCTTGCGAGAGGCTAGCTGGTCACGTGTACAAACTATAACCCTTTTAAACCCTGATTAGGTAAATTGTCTCTCTGTCCTTATGTCATACATATTTTATGTATGGGTTGCGGCTCAGATTCCACGTATCGCTTCATGGGCATTACATATTGGTATATTCGACATAAAAATAAGCACCGAGGCGAGACCTCATTAAATAATTTCTCCTTTAGGACGTCAAAGGAAACGCATATACGGTTACGCTAATAGTTCCGATATATATCTTCCGGCCACGAGTTCGAAACTATGGGGAAAATCACATATGGGGCACTCGATGAACGTTAGCCTAACAGAGAGCAGAAGTGTAGCTTTAAAAGGAGTATATAAATAGTGTTTTCCCCATAGCCTCTAAAATACTTTTCGTATACTTTAAAAGAGAAAATTGTCTGTGAAGGATCCCTGCCTCAAGAAAAAGGTTCGCTCATCAGATAACTGCTCACTGGTTCTACGTTTTATCATAGCTCCGAACAAAATGAGTTATGGACCAGCGTTGATGACCTTATCGTTGATCGCATTGATCTTTACTATTCCACCGTTGGCATGGAACATTAAATGCTCCAACATTCCTGCTATATCTCTTATCTCCTGGCTATTCTTGATGAATCTAAACACCTTTATTTCTGCGGCAATATGGCTGGGCAAGAACTACTCGTCTACGTACAGCGGCAGAGGGTACTGTGACATTATCTCCAAGCTTCAGGTGGGTGTGAATGTCGGAATATGTTCATGTGTTGGGGCAATCGCCTTAGATTTATACTTAATTTTGAATGCCAAGTCCTCTTTGCTCTTGAACACCAAAAAGAGGCGCATCATTGAAGCGTGTATGTGCTGGATCACTCCGATCGTTATAATGGCAATTATTTACGTCGTCCAGGATGCTCGGTTTTTGGTATTCAGATACTCAGGCTGCCAGTACTCTCTAGCCCCAAACTGGGTATCGGTATTGATTCTTTCTATACCAATGGTGTTATGGTCTTTGACCAGCTTCGTCTTGGCGCTCATGACAATCATTAAGTTCTTCCAGATAAGAAAGGATGTCAAAGATATTTTGCACTGCACTAATTCTGGGTTGAACTTGACCAGATTTGCTCGACTACTCTTGTTTTGCTTTTTGGTTGTTTGTGTTATGTGTCCCTTATCGTTATATTTCTTGGTTATCGCTATGAATAGTATTGATGGTGGGTTTGACTTCTCTGATATCCACGACAGTTTATTATGGGGAATTATCTTGTTCAAAGACCTGGGATCCCCGAAGTATGATAGGTGGTTGCATATCACTTTGGCGTATCTCACGTTCATCATTTTTGGGTTGGGCGAGGACTCGGTGAAGTTGTATCAACGAGTGGCACGCAGAATAACGGGGGAAAGATTATATAACGGGTTGGCTGAGTCAATAGCGAGACTAAAAAGTTCAGTTCGGAATACGGTTGTGAAATGCAAGACACAAAATCCAAACCATAAAACCGTCAATACGACATTTCACAGAGACCACCAAACCTTGTCACAGGATATGTCGCTACTAAAAGATAATCTTCTTTACGGGACAAAGACATTGGGCGAATCCTCTCCGCATAGAGGTACTGTGGGCCACTGCACAAAAGACGAACTCTACAATGCAATCCACCCAAATGACGAAACAGCATATGACGACGGAGACTACGAGATGGTTTACCATTTGAAATATTTAAGTACTACCAGTAACGAAACACCGTCATATGATACAAGGAAGCAAGGGCCGAATCCAATGATTTCGTTGAAAGCCTTGTCATAGCCATCTCGGCTTTCATATAACGTAAAGGTCTGAATTGCCCCATCCGTGGGTGTTCCAATACTTGACCTTCATAGTCAGTAATATTATTCTAATAGGTTACATTGCTTGATCTCATTTAAAAATATTATATATAATAGGAAGCTTCTATTTCTTGAGGCTGGAAGTTAAAGGAAAGGGTCCGCCGTGATCAGAAAAATTTATCACTAGAACGAGAAATAGAATCACAACCATCAACCCGATTAGCCCAGCAAAAGACCTGCTCGCCCATGTTTTCACAAATCGACGTAACTGTTCATGGCTGTACGTGCTTTCCGATGATACATTATTTGATTCGAAAGAAGGTATTCCCGTTGAAACCCCAGGGATTGCACCTGTAGAGCTTTGGATGAAATTCTCTGCATCACAACCATAAAAAGTTGTGGGATAGTGCGAGACACTAAAAGCTGTCACGGAATCCAAAGAGTACCAAACTGCAAAAAGATAGAACAGGATATTTACACACCAAAAAGGGAAAAATAGGAATCCCGCCCAGAAAAGCTAGACATTTTGATCGTTAGTATTCTTGATCAGATCACTGCTTCAGGTGCCCTTCTTTCTCATACACTTGCGCAATACTTCACTATACTCCTCAAGTATACACACTGTTGACATAAACAGTGACTATTGAATGACTCAGATTCGAAACCATCGGTCACTAAGAAAGTATCTGATTTCACTGGCACAAAGTAGCGATTTGACATTCTGTGGGTCAGATCTTTTCGAAATCAGCCGCGGGGAGAATTCCAATGGTTTTATACACACGTATAATTCCTCAGCAAATATATTCAAGTACTTTCTGAAATAAACTTGATACATCTCTTTTTTTTTGCTATATACCCGAGTAGATTGGTATCTCATTTGTGACAGAAGGTGAGGCAAAAATTTCCTATTTGGGACGCCTCAATAGAGACTATACAGACATACACGCCTCCAGATGATAACAACTCAAGTGGATTAAGAGAACCAGATGGTCTTTCACAGACAGCCGATAGAGAGTAATAGTGGCATGAAACCTGGGGTGGTGGCCTCTATGTCCAACATCTCCACCAAAGCTAGGCTTGAGTTCTGTATTTTGGCTTTGCCGGATCAGAAGCTTTTGGCTTCCCGGAAGCTTTACCCTTCGGCTTTACAGCACTCTTCGCAATAGGCGCGCCCCCAGTCCTCTTATGCTTTTTACCGCCTCTCTTACGGTTGATCTTCTTTTGCAACTTTTCTAGCTCAAGCTTAGCGACTTCTTTCGCAAATTTAACCCTCTGGGCTTTTCTCTCTTTCGACTGGATTATGCCCGCTCTCTTCTTCTGCCCTGGTCTGCTAATTCGCTTAGAATTTAGCCTCCTCTTCAGTTCCTTTTCAACGTTAGCATTGAAGGCTAACAAATCAAGAATTTTCCAGGGACATGGGTCCGGATAAGCAACTGCGGAAGAGGTGAAGATTTGCTCACCTGAAACGGCAACATTGGCGAAACTGTCCTTATCGCTTTCTGTGTATATGGCCCTGTAATAGGAAGTAGGCCTCTCGTTGATAACCACATCGACAGAATGCTCTCTTAGCGTAATCTTCTGAACCTTTGCTCTTCCTCTCTCTTCTAAGCCATCTTCGGCTTTGGATTCCTTTGGTGCCGTGGAGGGAGCAAAAAGAGGAAAGTCGAATTCGCCGTTTTCTTCCTCCACATCCAGGTTTTCTTCGACGACAGCTTGCGAAGTGAGAGATTCTTCCACATTGGTTTCGACAAACTCAAATTCTATCTTTGGTAACACGAACTTATCCTCGCTGTTGCAGTGCTCTGATCCTGACTCGGAATTGTATAGGTCTGCGCGGGAAATCCTAACAAAAGGTTAGCAGTGACTTCAAACAAGGGATAATATTCTTCTCACGTACTTCTTGAATTCAGGCATTTGGCACGTTATATCACAATCTTAGAGGGTGTTGTATACGTATTGTTGTATAATGAAATATAATTTTTACATTTTTCTTACTTTTTCTAGCGCTGCATACCCTGTAACCACAGCAAGGCTGTTACAACGAACTTTCAAAGGTTAGAGAACTTACAAAGACTGGAGAACTTTAAACTTGTGATTAAGTTAAAAAAACATGGAACATAAATAGAATGCAAAATACAACACAACCTCTATCGTCTGTGAGCGTATTTGACAGTTTAGTGCCTTACGAAGTGCAGCTGGCAGTAACCTTTGTGGGGAAATGAATACTTTTCTTAAAACATCCAACCTAGTTGAGCATCAGATAGGGTGTTTCAGAGTGAAAGGCTTATTTGGATTGGACTTGGGAGTAGCCGGAGAATGGTTCAGCGTTCTTGGACTTCAAGTACTCGTCGGAGGCCTCTTGCCATTCTCTGGTCATGGTCTTTGGTGGCGGGGCAGCGAAAGATCTGAGGAAAGCGTACAAACCACCACAGAAGGCGAGGGAGATGACGACAGCCTTGGCGATCCAGACCTTATCTTCAGCAGTGTACAATGGCTTTCTTGGGCCGTATGGACCGTAGTGAATGAACCAGATAGCTCTCTTTTCGTCCTTGGTCAATTCAGACCAGGAACCCTGCTGACGCTTGGCCAAAGATTCGACGATTTCGTTCTGATCAGCCTTGGCCAAGGTCTCGAATCTCTGTTCAATACCACCGATTAAAGCCTTAGACAATGGCTTGACAGCGACAGTGGAGTTTAAACGGACAGCAGCGAACTTTGGAGCGTGTGGGAGGGTACGTAAAGCTTGGCGGAACATTTTTTGCTATAAAAAAAAGATGTTAGTAGTCACGAGCGCATAGTTCACCTTGGTCTTGTAAGGCAAAATCAGTCTTGCATATATTTCACGATTCCATGGTGTGATAAATTTGTGGTTATGCAGCCCGGGAGCACAGGAAAAAAAAAGTACGCATTTTCATTGGCCGGTACTGTTATGAAAGCTGCCTTTGACACCAGAAAGCGATATAAGTGAGGATAACGGGATACAGGCAGTCTTTGAGCTGGATACTTATCAATTGGAATGATTTAGTAATATGGCGTGTCCATTGTGCCGGATGGACGAGATGCAAACGACAGCACTCTGGAAACCGTGGTCTAGGGTGGAATCATGCGATTTGGTATACTAGACTTGAGCCAGTTATATAGGATACGGCTCTTAGAGGTTGTGGTGCGGACGAAGGAGCGTGGGATCTGCTCTGAAGGGAGGCAGGTATGAGCAAATTAGGCCAGATTCAGTCAAGACTCATGTCGCGGAACGGGATGCATATAATCGTGGGTATAGGCATTACTAGACAAGACCAAGGGTGAGGTAAAACAAGACAACATACATATGTGTGGTACTAAGTGTTATCAAACGGGCAGATACGAGTGAGCGATTGTGCTTAAAGCTGTTTTTTCAACTGAGGTGACGCTTCATCCACCACCAATCCTGTGTCACGTGCGGAAAAAAATTGGCCTATATGTCGTGTATTTCAGGGAGTTTGGTTGGACCGCACCTGACTGCCGGATTAGGCAGTAACCTGCAAATGGCTTGAGTAACAAAACGAACAAATATGGAACATAGTCCTAGTCATTATCTAGAAGAAAATCTCCAATTAAGTAGATAGACTTAAGGAAATGAGCAGATTTTAGGTAAATCTAATGAAGAAGAAAATAGTCTGATAGCTTGAGAGAAGACAATGGCTGAAAATTAGGATTATTGGACGTCTCATAATGCCTATACATTAGTGTGCCTGGATCTGACAGCTGGTCTTTGCCTACCCCTTCTCCAGCAGTCATCCTCGCCATACCATACCTCCTCGAGACTCTGAATCTCATCTCAATCTATCTGTATTCCAGCGTTCATATGGTACATGTTCCACGTTCTAGTTATACAAACTACCGACCTTGTGAAAATTTCCTTTCCTTCATTCTGGTACGCGACCTACACGCTGTAAATTAAAGGATAGATAAAAAAGAAATATATGAAACAAGAATTGTTTACTTTTGAGCTAACTGGCAAGCTTCTGCTTCAAGGCGCCCAAAAACTCTCTATAGGACAGACCGCCGTTGTTCTTATCCTCAACCAACTCACTAAAGCACCACATTCTCAAGGCCATTAAATCGCGGTTGGAGTTGTTGAGCGGTTCGTTTGGTGACGGCCCTCTGACGATGTACAAGTTCTGGTACACGATCGTGGAGTTGCTGTCTCTGATGGTATCGATAATGGCCCTGACACGGATGTTGAAATCGTTGTCGAGCACCGGCAACTCAGTTTTGCCCACAGTAACCTCGTGGATAGTGGCTACGCCAAACACGTCTGCGACGAGGCCATCCACAGCATCGCCACCGACGAACAAGAACATCTCCTGACCATTGCTGATCAAGTACAAACCGTACTTCTCCAAGACTTCGCTGGAGGCGTTGGAGGCGGCTGGCAAGATCATCTGCCCGTCTTCGCCCGCGAGCCCACACTCGTCCGGCATGTCGTGCAAAGAGTAGACGGTCGGGTAGATGTACTGGATCAACTGTGGCAACGGCAAGGACGCCAATTTGTTCAACGCGGACGCACGGTGGTCTGACGGCACCTTGCCGTTTCTCAACCCAATGTGTTTGGTCAACGAGTGGAGGATCAACGGCAACATGCGCATGTTGGTGGATATCTGCAACGGCGATGAACCGCCCATGTTCGCCGGAGCAACCTCCTTCTTGTACACGGACAAGATATCGGACACCTTGTTGCTCAAGAGCTCTCGGGCATCATTCAAAGACGAACTGTATACCTTTTCGACGGCCTTCTGCGTGTAGTAGTTGGCGATGGCCAATTGGTCCGCCGACGCGTAAATGGAGCGGAGATCGTCGGAGGTTGGAATCGCCAACGTGACGACACGAATACGTCTCTCGCCGAACGCGGTGGTGTGCAAGACCGCAGCTTGGACAACCACAAACGGCTTGACCAAGTTTTCCTCAAGGCTCATCTCGATCACGTACGACTGGTCCCGCGGGAAGGTTGGGAACGAGCACAAGTCGGAAGACCGGTTGAAGAAGTTGCCGTAGAATGCCGACATGCGGATACCGCCGGAGCCTCTGACCCTCAAGACCGCCTCCAACGTGATGTCCATGGACAAGTGGTTGGAAAGCTCGCGCGAGAACTTGGTTACGTCCTCAACGCGCGCAGCGGTCCACGCCGGGTAAAAGTGCGTCTGCCCGGAGGTGAAGCGTGGAAGGTTGGCCAACGATGCCACATCCTGGTACTTGCTGGAACTCAAGAACATGTCGACCGTGATCTGCGACTTGTTGCACTCGATGGCAAACGTCTTATAGAACGGCGAGTTGCTGCTTAACAAGGTGCTAGCTTCCTTTGGCTTCTGCGACACGGATTCTTCGTCACGGAGGGTTAGCTTCCCGACACCCATGTTTGGCAAGGTGGCAGCAAACACCTGTACCTTACCCCCGATGGACGCGATCATCTTATGGGCAGTTCTCAACGCCGGTCCAAGCGCAAAGTTCGCGTTCTGCGTATCCGCGAAGATTCCTGGGAGCTTCTCCAACAACTTCTCGACCTGGAGACGGTTGTCCTGGAGAGTAACGAGGAGGTTGTCCGGCGCCGGGAGGAACGGCTCGTCGAGGTCCGGCACGACCATCAAGGAAGGCTCGCCATCGGCTTCGGCCGGGATGTGGAAGAAGTGCAAGGACGAATCGACCCCAATGAACGCGACGCGCGTTCTGCCGTCTTTATTTGGAATGCGGTCCAAGCTCTCCAAAATGGTCCGCGCGACGGTCGCAGTCAATCCGGATGCAACGGCGCTGATAGAAACGTCAATGACGAACACGTACACAAGTGGCTGCGGCGCACGCACCATGTACTCTGGTGGAGCGATGAACTCGACAACCGAGTGGTTCAACTCGTTACGATCGTATCTGTTGACGGACTGGCTCATGTGCGAGTTGTAGTCGAAGCCCGAAGGCACATCGTTTTGGAGGTTACACAACGCACACCTCCACCTCTTGCCCTGCTCGACAAACGCCACAAACGGGTTGATGTACGAGCGGCAGCGGCGACATCTGGAGATAATGGTATCAGAGACGACGGCGACAGGTCTATCGTCATCGCGGAGCGACACGTACGGACGCACGATCAACGCTAATGGAAGCTTGGTCTTCTTCAAGGTCGAGTTGTTTTTAGGAATCACGTTTAACGTCGATCTGAGGTACTCGCACGGCGCGTTGGACGTGTCACCACCGGTGACGCTGGCGCCAGCTGGAAGTACCAACGGCGGTGGCGCGAACTGGAGGTCACCGATTGGCGCTGGCAATTCACTCAACAAGTCAGTGGAATACAACTGGTTTAAGGGTAAGGCAGCTGGAGCCTGTTGGCCGTAGGCTGGGGCCCCGTATGCCGGCGCTGGGGCCTGACCATAGGCTGGCGCTGGCGCTGCTGGCTGGTATCCACCGTACTGGGAATAGTCCTGCGCCACAGACATGTTGTTGATGCCCTGGGTCACTTGATCGACCCCAAATTGGACCAGTGGCGACACGGCGGCTGGCGAAAAGTACGCAGGACCCGCGCCAGCGGTCGCGGGGTGTTGCGCGCTGACGGGCGATGCACCCGGCGCTGGGCCACCGCCCATCTGGTACTGCGCCGGGGCGTACACTCTTCTTTTGCCCGAGCGGGCTTGGGCCTGTGCTGGAGTTTCTGACATGGAGAGTGGTGTGTCAGGAGCAATTGGGTTGTGGGGGAAAAAGAGGTGGGCGCTTAAAAAGCGGCGTGTCTTGTTCTGAACAGCTCATGCGTTGGAGATCGAGATTCCGCGCACGACCACCTGGACCGAGGAGTGAGTGGCGGTGCAGGCTAAATGGAATGTGTGGGGCTGATGTGGCGCATGAGACATTGTTACCGGAAAAAACACGTATATGGCTCAGGCATTGCGTGTGTGGCTACAGATATAACATCCTACTCATGTTTATGAATCACAGATACGGGTATGCCGTGGGCTACATATCACACGGCCACTTGAGTATATAGGAGCTCCATACACATACAAGTATATGTTTAAGCTTCATGGCATAAGTTGTATAGCTGCTTGTTCTACTGTATTTGGATATGATTGATATTTCCATTGCATGTGCAGTATTTACCACTAACTGTCTACACTGGAATTGGTGAAACAGCAGCAGTTTTTCGGGCTAAGGTGGACATACGGTTAGGTTATCTGAAAGCTAGAACAATTCCTGCCTTTAGCTGATAGTTAGTAGCAATAGCTGGCTAATTACGTATACATGGCGAACGATACAGGCGTCTCGAATTCACTGTAGACATAACGCTTTTTTTTAATACATTTTCCATGATTATTTCTTCCACGTGGCGAAACAAGAAGAATGTTTATTCTACCGGAAATTTTAACGCGTGTTACAGGACAAGACTAACCAAATGCCAGAATGAGGTGAAGCTTTACCACCTCCTCTTGACCTACTAACCCTCATTATAGTTCTTAAATATTGTAATATTCGTTCAAGTCTTACATAACTATCCTACGCCTTGGTGATTTCGACTACACTTCTTTGCAAACTGCTCTCGATCTTGCAGACCTGGAAGGCAATCTTCACCCCATGGGCAATTCTTTGGGTCAAATACTGAGCAAACTCGCCGACGCTACCACCTACGCCAAAGTAGATGTCCTTCGCGGCAACTAACGCAAAGCCGGTGGAGCTGCACAACAACTCGATAATGGACTCGCCGACCACTGGGAGTGTGGATGGTGCGTAGATGGTTTCAGAACTGACCAAGAGATCCACGCTGCCGCGCCCCACAAGGTCATTGAACTGGGCCCCCCAAGAACCGCTGATCACCGAAACATCTACTTTAGCCCGCTTCAAAGCCTGTTCAAAGTGCTCTAGCACCACAGGAGTGAACAATAACTCATCATCGGCGAACTGCTGGCCGTCGGCTGAGGCCTGCCACTGCACTAACTCCGACACGTCCACGGTGGACGCCCAGTTGATGATCATGTTAGGCACGGTGACTAAGCGCAAGACAGAGTAGTTAAAGTCAGATAACACAAGCTCAGTAGCAAGCTCGCTTTCCATTGCGAGGAACTTGGACAACAAGAAACACAGCGGCAACCCTGTTCCGCAGCCGAACTCGCAGATCTTCGGATACTGGCCACGGAACGCTTCTACGCCCCCGAGCTGCTGCATCCGCTCAGCTAACACATCCACCGTATCGTAGGAGCACTCCCAGCTCTTCAAGCCACCTTCGTAGACGTTGACACGCACGTCTTCGTTGGTGTTGCCCATCAAGATGTCAAGCTCCTCCTGGTTGTGGTTATCATCCTCCGCCATCAACTGGTGCTTGACGTCGAACAACTCACGACGGTACACGATATTGTCCTGGACGGTCTTGTAGCCTTGGAAAGTCACGCGCACGCCCGTCAACGTGGCCAAGATGGTGCTAAGGCTGTGTTTCCGGGGTAAGTTGGCAGCCGAGACCTGGAGATTTGTCAACGGGTTTGCAAACACTCGGGTCACTTCTACATGGTTTGGGTCTTCTGTGAGCTCGTCATCGCTAAAATCTCCTTGTGAGAACCCAAAAGTAAAGGACATGGTGGGGTTGTATACCAGTGGGACGTCACGGTGATGCTATGCAGAATTTTTCAAAAAAAAAAAAAAAAAAATTATGCAACGCAGATGCAGAAGACAGGATGCATCAGGTAAAGTTGCGAAGGGCGTTAGCGGAGGATACATCTCACAAACATGACGAAATGGCCATGCAATAATGAACCAAGAATTGTGCATTTTATCCTTTGAACACCAATTGTTAGTAAGTAACAAGAGGGACACCCCGTCCAAAACTGCTCGTGGTGCCGTGGCAATTGGATCGATAGAATTATCAACCTGGATGGAAGACACTAAAGTTGCCTGTTAACAGAGTATCCACTTAGTATATAATTATAATTTATGTTTTAAAAAGATACCAGACTCTTTGACAAACTATTAATTTTCCTAAACATGATCCATTCATTTAAATTACACATACAATCATACCTTTTAAGGGCCACATCTCCAACCAAAATAACCTGTCACGTGCAGAAAAACCTGTTACCTGCACTTGCTCCAGCTGACCTGGCCACATAACTATGTTGGAGGCACTCACTTTGGATTGCCTTTAAGCGTACCTAGCCAATTCTACCTACTTAAACAACAATTTACAACCAAATATCGTGACCTTCCTAGTATAGTCTGTCTATATCCACCGTATCCACATCATGTCTGAAAACCCATTGACGGACTTCGAGGACTTTGTGACGCCGGAGTTCCAGGTCCAACGGTTTGCGAACGAGCTTTTGCTAGCAACAAACTCGCAGATGGACCCCGAGGTGGACCTTTACACCCCTGAGAAGCGTCTTGGGTATGACATCCAGGAGGTGGAGAAGCGTTTGGTGCAGCTCACGTCGGAGAACTACGAGCTCTTGATCCAACAAGTTAACAAAATGGAGCAGACCACCGCCAACTTGAACAGCTTGAAGCCATCGTTAGACCAATCCAGACGGTCATTCCGCAAGCTAGAGAACGATATTCTTGAGCCATACGACCGGGCCCAGAAGATTTACGGTGCGTTGCGCAAAATCCACACGACGTCAGACTTGCTCCGTGGGGTCGCCTATTTCCTATACTTGACGTACGAGCTTGAGGAGGAAGCAGACTTTGAGCTTCTGCCAGCCAAGATGCTAAAGTTGGCCAACTCTCATAGCCAGCTCCAGCAGCACCTTAATTCCATGCCCTCGTTGAAATCCATGGCGATTGTCCGCAATTATTTACCTGTGACCGCTACAAAGCGACAGCAGCTCGTAGACTTGTGCTACAAAAACGTGCTCCAGAGCACTGCCGTGCTGGCTGTGCTTACGGATCCGGTGATTGTGGCACAGTTCACCGGCGCTCTTTCCACGTTGGCTGCAATGTCACCAGAGAAAGCCCGAGAGACACTTGTGTACGTGATGCAAACTCATGCGCAACACGCCGCGCAGCTTATGATCAAGGCCGTTACGTCGCCGCGCCAGTTTACCGCAGTGATGCCGGAGGTGGGCACACGTGCCCTGTTGATTGCGCGCATCGCACAACTTTTGACCACCATCACGTGTCCTTACAGCACTGCCACCATGAGCGAGTGGATGCGTGATGAATTGCGTGACTCAATGCTTGGCTGCTATTGGAAGACCGTTTCCAAGGACTACGGAAAAAAGTTGCATACGACCATGAGCAATGGGGGGCCTGTCGCAAAGAACTTGCGCAACCACAAGGCCGCCATTCGCGAGGCGATTGAAAAGGCTGTAGAACTTTCGCACACAGATGATGATGAGACTGCCGCTTATTTGAAGTTGATGTTACAACCTTTGGAGGGGATCGATATCCGGAGATAAGGTGAAAGCGCCAAGGAGGGGAATTTTCTTGACTTACAGAGGCAATCCTTTGACTTTCTTCAATGGATCTTTGACGAATCGGCTCATTACAGTGGAATATGACATTGCCTGTTTACCAGAGAAATATTACTCCCACATCGTGGTGCATACCTTGTTTGATTTTTACTTTCAAAAGTTGCATAAATACCTTCTTGAGGACATGGTGTAGTCCTAGGTAGGCAAGATTAATAGAGTATGAGAATGTAAATTAGGGCTAATGAATTGACCAAATACATATGTGTAGATTTAGGTAGAAAGAGGCAGGTTGAAACAAAAACTAGAAAAGTGTATCGTTCAAGATATCCTGATTATACAAAATGGTATGCAACAGCGTTAGGTTTGAGTTATGACACCCCAACACATGACAAGATGCGCGATTCACAAAACTTATACAACGCTAGGCAGAGTAACTGGTTTATAATCCAATAAAGTAAATGAACATACGTACTATCTTTCAGATTAAATCTCAGGGATGTCTATTTATCTTTTTAGGCCGTACATCCTGTACTTATTTACTTGCTACACTACCAGTAATGGAACGCACGAGCAATAGTCAGCGGTAGAGCATAGCCTTACCCTCCCCCTTGTTTCCAGAGTTTTGTTGTGGAAAATTGGACACCTAACTTGAGGATCAAAAATTACTTTCCCCCGGCTTATACATTCTTCAAGATAGCCAAAAAAAAAACACATTAATAAACCTATATATTCTACCAAAATTTGTTCGCCTTCATGGCTTCCAAAATACGGGCTCTTCCCCGAAACTTCAAGGCAACACAGGATTTAGACCCGGCGGTCGTAGCAGCAGTCGACTGCTCATTCACCGTACAATAGTCAATACTCGTAGGGATTATCGTAGGCAACTCCAACTCAGAGACAAACCCGCGTTCAAACACCAAGCGTTGAACCGCGGGGAAGTCCGCCGCCACGTGTTGTTTTGCAATTTCAAGAGAGATCCACTGCAAGTCCAAGGCCGCGAACTGTTTCTGGCCCATGGCAAAGGCTTCAGCCATATCCGGAGATGCACCCACCCCAAGGATCGAGAAAAAAACGTTCCACAACTTGAGCTTGTCATTGTAGCTGATTGGAATGCGAGTTATAGACAAGTCAGGGTACACTTCATAGAGCTTTTCCACCCCTGTGAACAAGTTTATCTGGAGGTCCACTACATACAGCTTGTTGGCAACCAAGTATGTGTAAACGGGACCGTAGTGGAGAATCTGCTCATCTGAAGGGACTTTCCCGAACACAGCCGTTCTCAAACCGATGGGGTAGGAGCTACGGATCTCTCGCCTCTCGGCGAGCATCCGCTTCTCTATTTCAACCTGGTTACGCTGTATGGCTTCTCTTTCCAACTGTTCACGGTCTTCCCTGGCCTTTTGCGCTAGCAACCGTTCCTGGTCCTCCTTCCTGCGGCGTTCCTCTTCCTTCAAATGGGCCTGAAGTTCCAAGTTCTTCAAAATCTTCAGTGCGCTCTTCTTCTGCTGGGCCACCTTCAGCATCTCATACTGTTCACGTCTACGAGCCTCCTTTTCAAGGTCTTCCAGCGTCATGACCTTCTCGGGCTTGGCCTCAGAACCAGCGCCTCTGGTGCTAAAGGAGGGGTCGCGGGAGGCTGATCGTTTAAACACCGGCGTGTGCTTGTCGACCTCGTGCTTTAGTTCTGGTTTGTGGTCAACCAAGGGGTCGTGCTTCTTCTTAGAATCAGAATCCGGCTTCTTTTTGGATTGTTCTGCGTGCTCAGACTTCGTTTTTGGCTCCAAGGGTTCCACCTTTGTCTTCTTCGGTGTCCTGGTTTCGTCATCCAGAGCCCTATCCCTGGTTTCAGTTCTGAGGACTTTTTCAGACTCTGAATACACCTCACTTTTTTGTCTCTCTTTCTTGGCTTTCTTCCGCTCACGGTCGTGCGAATGACTGGCTGACTTACGTTTGGTCGGCTGCACCTCACGGCTCTCTTCCTCGTTACTCTTGAGCTTGAATTCAGCGATTTTCTGCTTCACATACGCCACCTCTTTGTCACTGTATCGCACAGCCATTTCCGCTAGCTCCACTAAATCGTCACCGTTCAAGGTCACTTTCAAGGGGTTCGCGTCAGGATGGTCCAAGAGCAACTTGACGGTTCCAAAGTGGCCTCTACCAATGGATGCATGTAGAGCGTTAATCCCAATTGCGTTACGCTCGTTGATGTCGGCGCCCATGGCAAGGAGAACACTGACAATATCGTCGTGGCCGTTTCGCACCGCATTAATCAACGTGTCTGGATCTGGCTTTGGTGCTCCGTCAACAGCAAAGTAGTTGACAATGAAGGCATAGTCCCCCTCGGAGGCCTTTTTGTGGATCTCTTCCATGGAGATCTCCTGGACGCCCCAGGTGTCATCGTCGCCCCGGCGCCTTCCGGTCTTGCGCTTTTGATGGGGGTTGGTGGTATCGGAATCGCTATAGTCCTCCGCCTGTTTTGACTGTTGTTTCAGCTTCTTATGGCGGAGGTTGATAAGCACGTCTTTCAAGTACTGCCGGATTTTCGTGGTTTCTTTTGCTTCATCGTCCATCACATCAAACACTGACTCCCCGTTTTGGTTGATGTGTCTCAGGTTGGCACCATTGTCGACCAATAGCTTCACCACATCGTAGTACCCATTAGTCACCGAATCAAACAACGGAGTGTCACCGTCAGGGTTCTGGATGTCCACGTTGGCGCCTTTCCCGAGTAAGAGCTTCACAAGATCCGTGAACCCACGAAGAGCAGATTCGTGGAGGGAACTGGTTCCAGCGTAGTCTACATCGTTGACATCAGCACCCTCTTCGATAAGCCGCTTGGCTTCCTGGAGATCGTTCTTGCTGCACGCAATTTGTAATTTGCTACGGCCGCTGGCATCACGAATAACGCGGATGTGCTTCCGATGGGCCGTTCTGCTGGAAGGGGAGTTGGACCTGGAAGTCGAAGGACTAGTAACGCGGCGCCGTCTCAAGCCGAGAGGACTGTCGAGCTCCCGTTCCACGTCGGACGAGGCTTCGGAAGTGGCCCTGTCGATGTCGCGTTTGCGCATCAAGCGGCCTCTACCTCTACCCCGTTGTCTAGGCGGAGACTCGGCAATGTCAGTTTCCGCTTCGGACTCATCACTGTTTTCGTCTTCGTGTGTGACTGGAGCAACTTCTATAGTGTTCTCTTCAACGGCAGACCCTATCTCAAGTTCAAATTTGTGAGCGATGGGGGAACTAATGTCCATGTCTTCGGGGTCGCTCAAGGGGCTGGTTGGAGGTGGGAAGCTATCTGTCCGAGGCTCAGCGGCAGGTTCAATGACCGGAACATCTTTCTCCACGTTTGAACTAGCTTCCGTACGCGAGAGTTCATCGGTACCTGGTAGTTCTTGAGTCGTTGCAACGTTTACATCTTCCATTTCAATGTCTTGATCCTCATTCCCAACCTTCGTTTCAGTATCCTTCATGACAGGTTGCAAGTCAGAAAGTTCAAGTTTCCCATTGAGAGAGTCACGAGGTTCAACGGTGACAGGAATACTGGTTTCCCCAGGAAATTGGGATGAAAGTGGCACGGGTACCAAACCACTAGAAGTGACAGTGGGACTCTCAGGGTTTTTCTCTCGGAGATCACCAGCGAGTAGGGTATTCTTCGGCTCTAATTGAGACTCAGATTGTGGCTCCGACGAGTGTCCTGCTGTTTGGTCTGACTGTTGTAATTTTGACTCAGGCTCCGATTCAGAATACAGCTCAGACTTCGGTGCTGGCTCAGACTCTGGGGTTGCTTCATCCTTCAGTTCTGATAGCTCATCCTTTGTCTCACTATTAGCCTCCGCTTCGGTCAGTGATGCCACCCTCTTCTTAATTTTTTCGCTCAGCTTCGACTTCTTCTTCAACTTGTTAAAATAGTCGTTTAAGTCAATGTTTCGCGGCTGTGAAGTCTCGGATTTGGTGGATGTGGGTGCGGCAGACGTGCTCGCGTGTGATCTTTTGGAGTTCTCCCTAACTTCGGACAGTTTCCTTGGTGGTTCATCATCGTCAAACATATGGAGGAGCTTTGGATCCTTTATAACAAGCGGTGGAGTTCCAGTGGATTTGGTCCTCTCATCCTCTGCGTCATGGGGATCGCTGGTTTTACTCTTATCCTTTCGTGGATCATGGGATTCCTTCGTATCGTCGTCTGAGTCGGAGAACCCGTGTGTCAGTTTCTTAGCTTTTAGCTTTCGCTCAGCACTGTCTTTGGGGTTTTCGGTGTGTCTGTCTCGTGATTTCTCCATGGGGGTATCGCCCCTCTTGTGGGGAGACGGGACCTGGAGCAGTGGCTTTCCGTTGGCGGAATACACCACGGGAGACTTCTTTTTTACAGCATACTCATGTGTCTTGGTGACCACTTTAGGCTTAGAGTTTCCACCAAAAATGGACGAGGAGATCACCGGTGTGGCTACCAATGACTTGCCAAACATGGCGTGCTTCGGTGCCAGCTTTGCATTCAATCCCTTTTTAGAATCTTTGGAGTCGCCCATGGAGATAAGGAGGTTGGCAGTTTGGGGTATATGGTTCGAGAGAAATCGGTAGCAAGGAACGCTGTTTGGAGTGTGTGTTTGTTGGGTGGTGCTTGTGTTAGTTTGTTTTGTGTTCCATTAGGTTTTTCTTCTGGTTGAGGGTTGCCGGTGAAGCCACGCCAAATTACTGGGGAGATGGCTCTTCTATATATGTATCTGGTATTCCCAACACCCAGGCAAAAGGATATGGACAATATTATATATATGAGATAACCTTGTAAAGAATATCATGTCTGAGTATATTCTTCGATAAGATATGTTGGAAAATAATCGATATAATATGCGAAGTGTAGAGTAAGACATCAGCCTCGCAGCACCGCCACACTTGTACAGTATCGACGAATACGTAAATGACGATACTCTATTCGCCTAAAAATTTACGGTATTTGTATTCTATATCTATCATTTCATCAATTTTATTTATGAATCATCAATTTAGTATTGTAATTGTGCTCTTAGACCAAAAAGGACTTTGTGATACTTTTCGTATGAGGTGGCGCAGCATCGTATACTCCACGAAAATCTGAGTAGAAACTGACAGGATTTTGTACATGAATCAACAACCTCCATCGGGTATCCATAACCCGTAACTACAAGCTCGTTGCTGTTATAGTTATTTCTGGCTGTCTTTGATTTAGCCAACTGTAACGCAGTTAATTGACGCAGCACATATCTATCACAACATGTCGTTATTTGGCTCGGCAGCTAGCAACACCACCAGCACGATGGCCACGGAGCAGGATTTGGTAAACGATATTACGGTGGCAAGCCCACCAGAAGACTCTGTTTCCGACCTAGCCTGGTCTCCTCAGGCCGAGTTATTGGCGGTAACGTCATGGGATAAAAAAGTACGGATCTACGAGGTTAACGCCTCAGGTCAGTCGCAAGGCAGAGCGGTGTACGACCACGAGGCACCGGCTTTGAGTTGCAGATGGTCTCCTGACGGGACCAAGGTATTGAGTGGGGGTGCTGACAAGGCGGTCCGTCTTTTCGATGTTTCGACGCAACAACTGTCTCAGATTGGTGCACATGACGGTGCGGTAAAGGCTGTGAGGTTTGTCGAATGTGGCCCCTCCAACACCCCGTGTGCAGTTTCTGGTTCATGGGACAAGACACTCAAGTACTGGGATATGAGACAACAGCAGCCTATCACAACGATCCAATTACCAGAGCGGGTTTATGCCATGGACGCTTCGCAAAAGCTATTGGTGGCGGGTTTGGCCGACAGACACATCGTGGTAATTGACTTGAACAACCCGCAGCAGATTTTCAAGCAATCGCAGTCCCCATTGAAGTGGCAGACTAGATCCATAGCATGTTACTTACAAGGCAATGGCTACGCCTTGGGATCCATAGAAGGTAGATGCTCCATCCAGTACGTGGACGATGCTGAGCAGGCCAAGTTGGGCTTCTCCTTCAGGTGCCACCGCCAGCAACAAACTGTTGCAGGACGTTCTGAGAGTCACGTTTATGCGCTCAACTCTATCGCTATCCATCCGGTATACGGTACATTCTCCACCGCCGGTTCCGACGGGTGTTTCAACTACTGGGACAAGGACGCCAGACACAGATTGAAAGGCTTCCCGAGTCTCAAGTCGTCGATCAGTGCAACCGCGTTCAACAGGAATGGGACCATCTTTGCGTATGCATTGTCGTACGACTGGTCCAAGGGATATGAGTTCAACACCCCAGAGTATCCGACAATGATCAAGTTGCATCCGGTAAAGGACGATGAGATCAAGCAGAGGGCGAAGAAGAAGTAATTGTGCGAGTGCGAGTGCGTAGCATGAGACTGAGTAAAGTCAGCAAAGAGCCTATAGGAATGGTTACCTATACATAAATTGTACAATATAAGCATAGCATTAACTAGGATATTAAGTGAAGCTATCACAATGGTATGAATTATGGTAACAAAGGAGGCAGTGGGTAGAGCATGCTTGTGTTGGCCGGATGGAGGTACCAAACCACGAGTGATAAAACGGTAGATTAAGTGCAATGATCATCTCTTTAGACTTTGGGATGTTTAATCTAGGACGTTAGCAGGGGTTACTAGCGCTGGCACTTTATCTTTAGAACGGGGTAAACAATTTCGGCTCGTAGCACGTTGCTACTTTAACTGATTTCGGTCAATTAGCACTATTAGTTTGTGATTATTAAGTCACGGCTGTACGTGTAATCCATTTTGATCCATCCGCAGTAGTGCATAGTATTTTGGGGTATACAATCAATATTGAAAATGGTATTGGCTAGATTCAAGGTACCTATATCTAATACCAGAGTTGGTCCCTTTTAGCTACTCCCAGTAATCTGAGTTTTCCTGGCTTTGTATTCAGTGACTAAACAGCCAAATTCGAGACCAACCTATACTCTTTTACGACAACTCAAGCCCACCTTTTGTTACTTGAGATATTGCGACCTGCGCTATTTACGTAGACCGTTCTAACCCACGTGACGCTCTACACATCTACGGAAAACCCCCCGCCTCCGCAAATGCCAATATCTCTTGTGGTTCCGGTACCCTCGGTTCTAATGCACAACGTGTAAGCCGGGTAACACAATCTGTTCCATACTTAAAGGGTCTTGACACCTAGGAGGGTTGTACAACATAGATGCTCAGTGTCAGTCTAAACAAAACCTAGCCCTTTGCTGGTATCATCCATTCAGAGTGGTCCAGACTGTGTTTAAGAAGTCGTGAGGATTTCTCTTCAGGATGCTTCACTTTTTTGAAAATTGTTTCGTACGATTGAAGCATGACCACGGATACCGCTTTATGATTGTACGAAGTTTAAGTTTTTACAGTTAGCATAGAAGACCTCCGAAGAAGCACGTATTATACTATATGTCTCTTGCATTCTTCCGATAGTTGTAATAAAGGCTTCATATATGACTTCAGTGGTTCTGGATGGAAGCCGTGCTAAGCAAGACACGTAGCACAAAATTTATGTTCAGTAATAAGCGGCCGGTGAGACCCCCATCTCTATTTATAGAGAGAAGTAGATAATACAAGAAATCTCGAAATACTCTGGTATTTTGTCCTGCCGGGTTCGAGCTAGGAGATGTAGACAGAGTGACCCCTGATTAAAGTTTTCGACCAGTTGCCGAAATATTTCCAGATGTGTGGGAAGCGGATATAGGAAGCGGACATCTTGCGCTAGACGAGATTTCATTTGCAGTCTGCCAGATTCGAAAGTTTCGAGCCAATGAGCGCCGCCAAAGCAATATTGGCTATATCTAGCTCTCGTAAATATCGCTTGCTCTTGAAAAGGCTTTTGCTGTCTTTTGTATATCACGTGCATATAGACCGATATGCTCATCGGCTAAAAACCGGATCAGCCAGGAGAATTGGCACGAGTTCAATGGTGTATCGGCAAGGCGATTTTGAGACTCCCTGTGGCACACGCGTTGCAAATTCCGCGACGTAGTATTTCGGTGAATCAATATGAGTGTGGTTATGGATTAATCCGCCAAGCTGGTGGCCTTCCCTTCCGGCGGGAGTATAAAATTATACCTAATCTACGTAGGCGCGTCTCGGCGCCGATCACGTCTGGATCAGCGAATGTTGTAAGTATCATACCCCGAGGCGTACAAAAGATGAATGTGTATTTTTATTCGTATGGGTGATATTAATTATGCCTTCCCGTATTAATACTTCAGGATTCCGTGGGCAAGACACTTTACCTCTGGCTTTTTATACCACCCGACTAATCTCGCCTTGTGAATGCCTGTACCAGGCCTCCATGGTAATCCAGGCCCCTCGGCACATAAAAGGACTTAAAATCTCGTCACCAAAAAAAAAAACACTTTAAGTTTTCCCCCTAGAGCTGAACTATCTGAGCTACAAAAGAGGATTGTGAAAGGAGTTTGAAAAAAAGAAATAAGCCCCAATACTTTGAGGTGATCATAAAGGTATTAAATCTAACTCGATTGACTTTTACATCAAAATAACCGGCACTACCTGCCATGGTTTCAATTTTGCCACACTCACAGCTACTCCACTTAAATGATACTTCATCTTAACTACATACTTTCTGCTCGGTCCTGTCACGAATACGCACTAAGGTTTAAGAATCACCCACGGTATATATGTGTCCTGCATCGTACTGAAATTGGGGGGAGTGACTCTCGAAATGAGGCCTCGTTCCACCCACCACAGCGTCCATAACGGAGAAATACCATTATTTTCTCACTAACAGAGATCAAAAGAGTGAGCGGAAGGCGGCTCCCCCCTCGAGATGCCCGATTTGCTGCGCATGTCGGTGGCTGGGCGCCCGGCTAGTTCCGACCAGTCGGAAAAAAAGAAAGAAACACCGCCTGCATTTAAGCTTCTCAACTCAACGTACACCCGCTGAAAGCTGTGCGAGAGAAAATTAACACCATACACGGAGAGCGCGCCAGCAAAAAAAGGAAAGCTGAGCGCCATTTGACATCCTACTCCCACGCTTCGACCGTATCCCTGCCCCCCAGACGATTCCTGGAGCATTCAAAGTATCAGCAACATCAACGTATTTCTGATCTACTGCACGGAGACAACGTGGGATTAGACCATACACCCCTTCCGCATATCAACCACCCTTAATATACAGCGCTTTCAATTGACACGCCGTACAGTCTTCAACCTGGATTACTCCACAAGAGTCTAGTCACAACTTCTAGCGGTATACGACCGTTCTTTCGCTTGTGACGTTCTCCATAACCTATTGCTAGTGATTCTAAGTAACCACATCCCTTAGTGATCATCCTGTGATTCTGTTCTCACGCGGTCCATTTTTGAACCCTTACTCCCTTCGATTATCCTCGAGTCTAAATTGACCCGATCCTCGACTACTGATTATTCAACCCCCGGTCCGACCATCCTCAATACGCTCCTGCTGAAATCATGAGCCAAGGAGGAACGCCGCGCAACGCGGGAACGGCAAAAAAAGAGAAAAAGGAGGGTAGCGCGCCGCCCGGGCAGTTTGTGAGCGACTCAACCGCAACCAACTCGCGCCAACTCTTGAATGCCTACATCTACGACTTTCTTGTGAAAAGCGGGCTCCCCGCGACTGCCAAGGCGTTTGTCGCGGAGGCCGACGTGCCCACGACCAACACCGTGGCGCCGGGCGCGGCCGAGCCTGCACGAGCGGACTTGCCGGCGCTCCAGATTTCCATGGACGCGCCGCAGGGCTTCTTGTATGAGTGGTGGCAGATTTTCTGGGACGTGTTCAATGCGCGCACGCACCGCGCCGGCTCTGGACCTGCGCAGCAGTACTTCCAGCTTCAGTTGTTGCGCCAGCGGCGCGAACATGCGTTGCACAGCATGACCGCGCACGCGGCGCACGCGCAAGCGCAAGGCCAACCACAGCTGCAGATTCAATCCCAGGCGGCGCCCCAGGCCATGCAAACGCCGGTGGCGAAAGCCTCCGTGCCACCCGCACCCACCGGCTCGCCCGCCAAAAGACAGCGCATATCGAACAACTCCACGCCAACCAGCGTCCCGAGTGCGTCGCCCCTCACGGGACACCCGCCACCGCCACAGATGGTAATGCAGAGCTTCAACCCGCAGTACATGTACAAGGGCCCAGGCTCCGCTACGACGCCAGGCATACCGTTTAATCCAATGGAGCTCCAGCCGCAGATGAAAGTACCAATGGGCGTGTACGCGGGACAAAACGGGGCGATGATGAACGGAATGGCCCAGAACGGGGCGATTATGGCCCAGAACGGCCAGGGCCTCACAATGGGCGCTACAAATGGCGCCACGAATGGCACGAACGGTGCGGGCTTCACCTCCATGAACGCCAACCTACAAGAGTACCAGACCCAGCTCATGCTTATGGAGAGACAGAACCGCATGATGATGGAGCACGACCATGCCGGTGGTGATGCCATGGCTGGCCAACAGACCATGGCCATTCCCAACCAGCGCTGGCAGCAGTTGCTGCAACTGCAGATGCCGCCACCGCAGAACGCTGCGCGCAACACGCCCGCGGCGTCGCCCGCGACCGCGAGTGCGCCGCATCCCGTGGACAGCAATGGACACACGCCAAGCAATGTAAAGACCCCGGTGGTGGCAAACATGCCAACGCCGAACAACTCAGGTGGCGCGGGCCCGGGGACTGGTTCCACCGGCAAAAAGAAGCCTGCGCCGAAAAGACAGCGTAAGATGTCGAAAACAAATGGCTCCGAGCCACCCACCCCAACCACGCCCTTGACTCCGGCGAATGTCCAGACCACGCCACAGTTGGCGAACCAGCAGCCTCCGCCAGCCGCGAGCGCTGTCACCACCACCGGCCCTAAGAAAAGCGTGTCTGCGCCTGCGTCAAAACGCAAAAGCAGCACCAGCGATGCCCCGACTCATATCGATCCCAACGCCTTGCGCTCTCCCGCGACAAATGTCAAGCAGGCCAAGGAGACTGCGGAGGAGGTCAAACCAAGAGAGACCGCGATCCTTCCAGAGACCGGCCATGAGCTCATTGGCGTTGCCCCAGAGCAAGAGGAGGGGTTGGCTACGAACTTCATGCAGGACTCGCAGTTCTTGACGGACTTTGGCAAGGTGCACGGCGTGGCTGTTGCTCCGGAGGACATGGACTTTGACTTTAACAACTTTTTGAATACAGGGGAGAATGAGCACATGGGGAGCAATGTGGGGTTTGAGGGGGTGTTTGGGTGGGCGGATGGCGTCTAGAGCAGGACAATTAAAAACGTGCTGTCCGGATGCAAGGCTAGCGTCGAGTCGAGAGCTGTGTCGCACGTGGGTGTTCAATTGTTTGTCCCGCGTACGGAGTATCTCCTTTATCGCCACATCGTTCACACACGCATTATCTCTACCTCCATTTTTCCGTACTACTCAATCTCTTCTTTCTCCCTTCTCTTTCTTCCTTTACTTCTCTCAACTTACGTTGTAACTTTTTTAATTCTTCCCTCACTTACCTTTTCTGTTTGTATTATGTTCCGTTTCCGGATTTACTCCGTTTCGTTTTCTCAGGAGCTTGTTCTCCTACTCATCGTTTTGTGTTTATCTATTTCCCTTGTTTCGCTTACTAGTGTGTAGTGTGACTGTCAGCGTGGGACGCGAGTTGCTGACCCGTAGGAGGGTAAAGACTCTATTAAATTGACGAGAAGCAGAATGGAGAAGAAGCGTTCGGGGAGTGTCACTTTCAGGATAAGTGGTTTTCCCTTGCTCCTGGGCAGTTTTGACTGGCTCTGGAAAATAGGATATAAAAGAATTCTTTCTGAACCACGACTTGGTATGTGGTCTTAGATTTAATATCCCAGAAAACTTGCATCTGCTCTGACTACTTTTTCGGTGTTTTTAACCTTTGCCCGTTCGTCCTGGCGAACGATGGTCCACGCCGTGCCGCGCTGCGCAGTTTTGCACTGCACCTCGGCATGCATAACTTTTTCGACACTAATTAACACTCCGTCAATTATTCCTCAAGCCGTAAACCCAAATGCCCGAGCCCCAATCCTCGGATCCAAAACCTGCGGATACTCCATCCGTAGTGTCCAAGGCGGAGCCCCCGGACCTCACCTTTAAAAACGTCATGCGTGACATCTGGGAGGGCATCTACGCGTTGCTCTACACCCCGTTCTACATTCGCTTAGTGGCGCCAATTCTCGTCCTTGGGGAGTCTGTCGCGGTGAAGGCGATCATTGCCCGTGTACCATACACTGAAATTGACTTTAAAGCGTACATGCAACAAATTGCCCAGATCAAAGCCGGTGAGTTGGACTACGCGTACATCTTCGGCGACACGGGGGCCTTGGTTTACCCTGCGGGCCACGTCCAGATCTACTATTACCTCATCGATTTTCTCACGTACCACGGTGAAAACGTGATCATGGGCCAAAAGTTTTTTGGTTGGGTGTACGTGATGACGTACGCCTTGTGTGTGGTAGTCTACGCCATGGCAGACATGCCCCCATGGACTGTTATGATGTTGGTGCTCTCGAAACGGTTGCACTCGATCTACGTTCTTCGAATGTTTAACGACTGCTTCACCACCCTCGCGATGGTATTATGTGTCTTTTTTCTTCAGCAGGCGGCGTCCTACAAGAAACAAACGAGAGTGAGCTCCTTGTTGACGTACTCCGCCTCCATTGTATTCAGTTTCGCAGTGTCCATCAAGATGAACGCCTTGTTGTACTTGCCGGGCTTTTTCGTTGTCTTGTACCTTCTAACTGACGAGGTTTTCAGCACCTTAATGTGCCATTTGGGCGTCATGGCCGCGACCCAGATCGCTATCGCCTGGAGCTTCCTCCAGCCCTTAACCTACACACCTGCGGCCCACGCCATTAGAATGAACTATCTTGCCGGTGCCTACGACTTTTCTCGTCAGTTTTTGTACAAATGGACTGTGAACTGGAAGTTTGTGCTGGAAGATCTCTTTCTTGACCACCGCTTCGGCTTTGCATTGTTACTCATACAGGTGGTTTTCCTTTTGGTTTTCATCTTCTCCCAAGCGGTCACCCACAAAACCTTGGGCAAGTCTGTTTCCCAGACGGTGAGAGATTTCTTCCGAATCGCAACCCCCACCCTTTCGCCAACGGCCATTATCAACGACCCTAGCCGTGCGCCACGTTTCGTGGTGTTTGTAATGGTCTTCAGCAACCTCATCGGTGTGCTCTGTGCGCGTTCGCTCCACTACCAGTTCCTCTCGTGGTACGCGTGGCTGTTACCGTTGTTGTTGTCACTCACCGGTGTTGGAATGTTCGTCTCAACGGGACTCTGGTTACTCCACGAGTGGTGCTGGAATGTCTTCCCTGCCACAGCCGTTAGTTCCGGAACCTTGATTGTCATTCTTGCCTTTGTGGTGGGCGCCGTCTGGAAGAGAGGCGATGCTATCTTCCAGATGACCGTCGATGAAGAGAAGAAGGATCAATAAGGCCCCTCGATGGTATCTTATAAGACTTGATGAAATATATCAATACCTATTTGTAATAATTACAACTAATGCTACGCATGCATATAACTATACCATTGGATATTGCCTCCACTGGTATCCAGTAGAAGTCCACAATTTCGTTACTGGTGCTTTGTAGTAAAGGTGCCTCGTTCTAAATGAAGCCACTAGTGCCCATCCCACGTGAGACTACAGGTGCCTTATCTTAAGTGAGACATAACTTTATCAGTCAATCTATATAACGACTTACTGACTGTTTCCTTGTATATCTAGATCAGATCTGATAATCGATAAATTCTATCTGGTTATATCATTACCTACGTGGATATACTACACGCTATATGGGGTACTCAGGCATTCTATCCCCGATACTCCGAGACTATTAGCTAAAATAAACAGTCAGCACATTTCCAGTCTTTCTAGATAAACGTTTTATATTTTATATCCCATGAATTCTCACAAGTACAATTAAAATGCCGTAACCTGGTATTCAGTTGTGCCGGCGCACAGACAAAAGCCCGCGCGGCGTAGCCGGCGCCAAGCACTGTACACTAGGCAGTGCAATTTAAACCTAAACTGAACACCTCAATGGCATCACTACTCTGTACTTCCTAAAACATCCCAGACTTTACTCTCTTCACTGCTACAAGTGGGTTTTATTCGCCCACAACTCCTTCCGTCAAAGTCCCATAGCCACTACAATCGCTTTCGCTGATAACCCTCTGTTCTACTGGCCCACCTCTAGACACATTCCTGTCCTTCCATCGTCATCTGCCCTTTTCACGGTACGATCACGTTCCCAAACTGCAAATAGATTTGCTATTATACTCCTGAAATCATTGGTGGTGCCTCATCGATACTACATTGCTATCAGAGTTGATCACTAGCTTTTTTTTTTCGATATCATTTCCCTGACTTCCTTGCTATCATCTTGCCATCGCTTTCCTAAAAAATCGTTAAAGGTGCACCCCAAATTCCACTCTACTGATATTCCTGATCAGTTAGTTGTTGACATTTAATACTATTTGCTGTGCATTCACCATCACAGCCTACTCGCCTAACCGTCCTGTTTATTCATTAAAACTATCATACATGGCAGACATTTCCTCGGAAACTCTCCCCACAGTGCCCTACCACAATACGGGCCGTAACTACGTCCAAGATACGGTATCCTCCCTCAAAGGAAAACAGTACGCCACACTCTCGGATATCGACTGGGACTACGAGTACAAGGCCGAACGGTTACGCCGCTTCCAACTTCTGGAGAAGGTGGGGCAGTTGGCAGACCTTGCGCGGCGCTGGGTGGTAGTGGTTGCAATTGGCGTGGCTGTTGGCCTTGTTGCAGGTGGTATGGACATCTCGTCTACCTGGCTCCACAACATGCGCTCGGGCTTCTGCACCAAAGGTTTCTACCTCACAGAGGCGGTGTGCTGCACCGGGATTGCGGACGGTGATGTCTGCACTGCGTGGAAGACGTGGAACATGGTGTTCCACATCCGCACCGACAGTCTCCTGTCGTTCTTCTTCCGCTACTTCATCTTTATCGTGACGTCGCTCATCCTCGCGGCGTTGACGGTGGTGCTCATGCTCATGGCGCCACTCGCGCAGAAATCGGGAATCGCCGAGATCAAGGCCATCATCTCCGGACTTGTCATGGACAGCTTTCTTAGTACCGATGTTCTCCTCTGCAAGGCAGTGGGTTTGGTCACGGTGGTTAGCTCCGGGATTTGGGTGGGCAAGGAAGGCCCGTTGGTGCACGTGGCGTGCTGTTTAGCCGAATTTATTGTCCGCTTCACAGCCGAGAACTCCAACCAGGCGTTGAAACGCGAGATGTTGAACTCAGCGGCTGCAGCAGGGATGGCAGTCGCGTTTAATGCACCGATTGGCGGAGTGCTCTTCACGTTGGAGCAACTCAACACCCGTTTCTTTGTAGACCGTTTAATGTGGCACTCGTTTGTGTGCGCCACGACCGCGGTAATGGTGCTTCAGCTCCTTTCGCCATTCGATGACGGGTCAGACGTGCTCTTCAAGGTGGACTCGAATAACAATTGGTTGTTTCTCGAGATCTTCCCATTCATGCTCTTGGGCGGGTTGGGCGGGTTGTACGGGTATTTGTTTAACAAGGTGAACCTTCTAGTCGCGCGCATGCGCAGAAAGCTCATTGGCGACACGAACTACCATCTCCTTACGACGGAAGTCATTGGCATTGCGTTTGTCACATCGCTTCTTAGCTTCCCACTCCTCTTCTCGCGCCTTTCCCTTTCCACCTTAATCACACGCCTCTTCCGCGACTGTGCAGCGCAAAGCACGTCGCAGATCATCGGCGGCTTGTGCGAAGACCACACGGTGATCCACTGGAAGACCTTGGGGTTGTTGTTTCTTACGGGCTTCCAAGGCTTTGTTCTCACGTGCTACTCCTACGGTGCCTTCATCCCCGGTGGTGTCTTGATGCCATCCATGGCCTTGGGTGCCATCACCGGCCGCATCTTCGGCATCATTATGCAGCACATCGAGCTCTCCCATCCGTCCTGGAAGGTCTTTGCCTTCTGCTCTGAGTCCAACACATGTGTCTCGCCCGGGTCGTACGCGGTAGTAGGCGCTGCGGCTTCCGTCACAGGCGTCACGAAGATGACTGCATCCGTGGTAGTAATCATGTTTGAGTTGACCGGTGCGTTGACCTACGTGTTGCCAATCATGATTGCAGTGTTAGTGTCGCGCTTTGTGTCAGACGCCTTGGCCCGCGAGGGCTGTTATGAGTTGTGGATCAAGTACGCCAAGATCCCGTACTTCTCCGACTCTACCAAGCCATTGCCTCCTGTGGAAACCAGCCGCCTCATGACGAAATTAGATGACTTGAAGGTTATCTACCAGGACAGTGTAACACTCGGTGACCTCCGCTTCTTGGCTCATAACTATGACTACCAGTACTTTCCGTTACTCCGCTCCCCCCACGGTAACAAGCTCATTGGGCTTGTGAATCGCTTGGACTTAGTTTCTGAGTTAGTAAAGGTCCTGAATGCGGATTCGGAACTGCCCGTTCTCATTGCACTTCCTAATGAGAGTCACTACACCCCGGTGTCGGTTACAGATGGTAGCGTCACTGTGTCGCCGCTTGTCGAAACGGATATCGTACCTGTATCGCCGAACCTTCCGTTTCCATCCTTAGTCAGTCTCTTCAAGACGCTCAGTTGGAGTGTGGGTGTAGTTGTGTCTAAGGGTGCGCTCTGCGGACTTATCACAAAGAAGGATGTGGTGGAGTTACTCGACGGAGATATGTATCTCGGGTATCAAGCTGAAAGGCGGGTTGAACCAGGTCTGGATCGGTTGATGGATGATTATTCTTAGGCTGGCGAGGATGAATGTAACCTGAAGGGTGTTTTGTGCTTCAAAAATTTTTTTTTTGGATATTCGGAGTAATTCAGTTAGTGTGTGAACCTAAGTATAAGCGGTTCAAAGAGGCTTATCCTCGTATTGAATCTTGTAACCAGTGTCTTGGGCCTTGCAGTTGGATTAAGTAAAAATAGATATCGGTATAGGTATATAATTGAACTATTTTTCTAATGATCGAGTAACTTTAAAATGTATAGATGTTAAGATTATGTAACCTCCGTGACAACTTCGATACGGGGTATTTTCGCAGAACTGAACACATCAGAGTAGTTGAACATGTGAACTTATCAAGATAGCTTTTATACCTGAACTGGATGTCTCTTTTTAAGCGTGTTTTTACTCTGTGGTTCACGGTAGAGATATTATTTGACATGAGCCCATTGTAGCTTTATTATCATTATGGGACATGCTTAAAGATTCACGATCTTGTAGACTTGATGATTCTGGTTAGAAGTTAGTTCACTATTCTAGAAAGATTATTACTCCGATTTCACTATATAAATGATTTATATATTTGCTTATAAAGCACGATTTATCCTATAGTTCAACATGTGTAATTGGAACGCTGGGTCAGGCCTCAGCCACGCTCTACATGCGCATTATAATTTTTGCCCATTACACATTTTTACGATGCTGCGAAAACCAAAACACGTGCCATAATTTCTTCCCAAGATTTTCACCGTGCCTTTGGAGGAAACAGAATAAATTACCCAAATAAAAGTCTTGACTGAGAATAAATCGACCAATAAGAATCTTTATACCTATTGGTTAGTTGACTATGAAAGTTTTGGAAATGCCCGACCCGGAGCCACCCGTACAAGCCCAGTTGCCAGCTCCCGCCAGTCTGGTTTACCCAGTCTTCGTCCCAGCGCCTCCGACAGCCCTACCGCCGGTTCAACCTCCCCAACCATCTAAACCACCAACTGTCCAGCCATTTCCACCACCTAGTTTCCAACCATGGGAATCGCCTAATACTTTCCAACCAACAGCACCCCCGTCTTTTCAGTCTCCTACCACTCACCAGCCAGCTCAACCACTTACACCTTCCCAGCCCCACCAGCCGATTTTGTCCTACGGCGGTTTCAGAGGCAGGAGTCTGTATGCTTCACACAGAGGCCAAAGTGTGTACCGTGGTGCGCCGCGTGGGCGCGCCAACACGTGGCAAAGAGGGGCTCGCGGACGGAGCAGAGGAGGGTACAGAAACATGACACTAGTGGTGAACCACTCTACCGCAGAAGTACCAGCTACTGCCCCTGCTGACCAAGTCGCAATTTCTAATCCAAAGGTTGCCCCAAATGAGGCTCCAAGTGTCATTGATGGTCCGAATTCCACTCGAGACGTCGCTCCTGCCCCTGCGACAGCCTCTCTTCCAAATGACAAATTCATCGCCAGTGTGTCCAAGGGTGGAATGTCACTTGTCAACACCAGAGTCTACTCCAGCGAAACGTACCAGTCACAGCTAGCACGCATCAACGAGGCACGAGCCCTCTTGCTCGAGCGCCGGAAACAAAAATTGGCACAAGAGAAGAAGCAGCGCAGTATGCACGCCATCCAGACCAAGGTCTCCAAAGCTAAGGTGAAGTACGACGACTGCAACCGAGTGCAATTCGGGGATGAGATATTTGCCATCACCCGTGGGGGGAACAAGCTAGTGCCTATTTCCATCCGTACCTACGAGTTGTTGGAGGCTGTCAAGGTGTTGAAGTCCCGAGAGGTGGTGCCAAAGCGCTTCACCGCGGATTTGTATGATGAGCAGACTGAAGCTAAAGAAGAGGACGTGGACGTCCAGATTATTCCTGGGGTCACCAAGCATGACTTGACGGCACTCAAGAACAAAATCTGCTACGGCACCCGGAGCTACAAAAGACTCAAGAACGGGTGTTTGAAGATCCAAGGCAAGCCAATGTACGTATTATTTCCTGTTGATGATTTCAATACTAACACATCTAGCATGCACATTGAAAAGTGCAAATACTTTACAAGAACCGGTATGTTTTCTATTTAACTCCTTTCTCCAAGTGAAAAGAGCACCAAGCGCCTTTCTTGACTAGCCAATACTAACACACGAAATTTTGTTTCATTAGGTATCTGCACTAACGGAAATACATGCAAATTCAGTCACAATCCCGAGCAGATTGCACTCTGTCAGGCCTTCTTGAAAGCGTCTTGCACAGACTACAACTGCTGCCTCTCCCATATCGCCGTGCCGGAAAACACCCCGTCGTGCAAATATTTTCTTCTAGGAAACTGCACCAATCCGAACTGTATGTACGTGCATAATGCGGTTGACTTCAGTCATCCGCGCGTGTGTCGCTCGTTTGCAATCGGAGGATGGTGCGATCAAGCGACCTTGTGCGATATGATACACTCGTTCGAATGTCCTGACTTCCAAGAGCCAGGTGGTGTCTGTCCTCGCGGCAGAAACTGTAAGTTATCGCACGTGGTTCGTGGCGTCGTGCCTAGCCGGGGTAACCCCAACAGGGCCACTAGTTTCCGCCAACAACAACTGTCCAAGAACGGGGCGAGCCTGGACCTTCTTCTCACCACTGACACGTCGGGCGATACAGCGTTGGATACGTTCAATGAAAAGGATAAAGTCACGTTGATTTTGACTGACAGTGACTTCAGCTCTGATGAAGAGGAGAACGGCGACGACGACAGTGATATAGATTTTGATGCTGATTTCATCCAGTTCTGATCTATTACCGTATATAGAAAGAAAATGAAAAAAAAAGTGCTGTCGAAGAAATTATGAAGGAAACCTTCTCGATACAAAAAGATTTAGAATTTCAATACAACTTTATGGACTTGAAAAAATAAATGTGGGGCCCCGTAATACTATTAGTAAACCGTGGGTTACGTAGAGCTAAAAAGAATGAATTAAGGCACAGGGCCTGGGAAACGGATTAAACAAGATGTATACTAAACGATGTAAATTAAGAGAGGAAAGGAATTATTAGTGAGATGCCTTTTCTGTATCCTCGGCACTAGGTCTCGCATTCTCTGTGGCGTAAGACCCATCCAACACGACATCGATTTTTTGTTCCTGTGGAACGGTTCTGGATCTAACAGGTTCTGGGATGTACATCTCAGCCTCTTCGTAGGTGAATTCACCGATTTGGGCAGCATCGGTACCCATCTCCTCCTCCTCTGGTCTTAATCTCAAACGCAACATTGGAATTCTGTCCATGATTAACAAAATGATGGCGGTAACACAAAACGCCCAGAGACAGGTAGAAGTGGCAGCAGCCAACTGATACCCTAACTGAACGTAGTGGTGAGTCATCCAGCCACCTTTAATCACGGTGATACCGTCGGTGACAGCCACGTAATCAGCAGCAAAGAGACCAGTCATAACACTACCCACAAAACCACCCACTCCGTGAAGTGAGAACACATCCATACCATCATCAATGTTCAAAACATTCTTCAAGTCGACGGCATAGTTACAGACAAACGCAGTCACACAGCCGATTGGAACGGCGGTATAGACTGGCACGAACCCAGCCGCCGGGGTAATACCCACAAGGCCAGCAATTGCACCAGTACAGAGACCAACAGTAGTCCACTTACGCCCACAGCGGAAGTAATCAACAAACATCCAAGTTAAGGCACCACAGGAGGCGGCCAAATTGGTGTTGACACAAGCGTACCAAGATCTGATAGAGGAGTTACCGGTGGAACCACCGTTGAACCCAAACCAACCGAACCACAAGAACACAGTCCCTAAAACAACAGACGTAACCGAATGAGGCTTGTACTTCGGAAGCTTACCATCGGCAACTGGATCGTTTCTCTTACCCAAGATCAAAGCGTAGGCAAGAGCACCGGCACCAGAAGTCATGTGGACTGGACCACCACCGGCAAAGTCAAGAGCACCAAGGTCGAATAACCAACCGTTTCCACCCCAAGTCCAGTAAGCGATAGGCGAATAGACCACTGTCATCCAGATGAACAAGAATATCATCATTGGCCCCAATCTAGCCCTCTCGCAGGCACCACCAACCATCAACATACCGGTCACACAGGCAAACATACCCTGGAACAAGCAGTATAAAATATCTGGCACTGTATCGGAGATGGAGGGGCGCCCTAAAACTTTCATTAAACAGAAGTTGTCCAAACTACCCAACATGACCGATCCCGAGTGGGAGAAAACCAAGGAGTACCCCCAAAAGAACCACTGGAATGAAACGAGGGAAACCGCCATCATCGACGTCCACAAAAGAGACAAGGCGTGCTTCTTACGGGAAAGACCAGAGTAAAGTAAACCAATACCTGGAATCATAATCCACACAAGGACGGCAGAAGTGCCCACCCAAACCATGTCGGCTCTATCGAATTGTACATTCAAGTCAACTGTTAGGGAATCACCACCTGTACCCGTGCCAGTGATCCCACTTGGAAGAGGAGCAGCAGTATCAGACATTTGTATTTATATGTGTCTTACTATTGAGAAGTTATGTGAAAGAGTTTGATCTTGAATGAGGATGAGAAAAGGTTGACGCTTGAGAGAGAGAGCATATCTAGAACAGGGAAATAGAACCTTTATATACTTTTATGTCTCTCTCACCCCAAGTTAGATCAAATAAATGGAGTGTTTTAAATCTGGGAAGATACCTTTTTTTGTTATCGATAAGCCCTCCTGCGTGAGTTCTCCGCCGATTAAATTGCATGCGTCAAACCTTCTTTGTCAGGGCTTTACCAGTACCAAGGTTCAGGTTTAGGGTATCCGAGACGTCTATTGGTGCGATGGGGTGCAGCCCGGTGGCCTTGGTATGGTGATATGCAAGATTTCAATAGTCACGGGCGGTTAACGGACGAGCAGTGATGGGAACACCATACAGGCCATTACCCGATAAGCAAAACGTTAGAAGTCGCCAAGGCGTACTACTTCGGTAGACCATAACAGTTACTTCGGATAGGCCAGGGTCTTGACTATTTGGTGCCAACGATAATGCGGTGCATATGTACGTGAGAGCCGTTGGCCAATAAAATATCGCTATGCAAAGCCTATCATGCAGCCAGAGTGTCTAGGAGAAGCGATTGCGTACTGTTTTTTCATGAAAGATACCCAGCCACATATCCACTACCGAATCGGCCGCAGCCTCGCGCCCGGAGACCACAACGGGAAATCTGTAACAAACTTGTTCCGTAATAGGATATCTAAGTGGCTAGTGTATTTAAAATTTCTCACTCTTGAGAATCGCACCTGCCCAAAGATAAGGATTCCGAGACTGCAGGTAATTCTAAAGCCGGCAACGGCACATAATTTTGCATGTGAAGGGCGATGTTGCTATCCATGAAATCGAAACAGGTCTTTGTAAAGCGGGATTACGTTATTTAATAGTGGCTCATTCTACAAACGTGTACGTTATGAGTACCCATCTAGTCGGATGGGCGGCTGGGTCTAGTCTCACCCCTAGCTGAATGGATCAAGTCGCGACAATAATCCACAAATGTGGTACGGATATATACCAAGATTGTCAACATTTTACCGCTGAAGCTATGAGGCTATCGGCCAATTATCGGCCAGGAAAAGAAAATCTCCAAGACATTTGGTTTAAGATTTGCTTTCAGTCACACCGTTCCAATCTAATTTATTGATTACTTGCGCGTCACCGGTTAAACCTTAGAAAGGGGGTAGTATGAGCGAAGCCCCATGAAGATAAATACCAGTGTCAGCGGGAGTGTATTTTGTGGTCTGTTATAATTTATTTTTCTGCGGAGTCGTTGTGCCAAAATTGGTCTAGAATCTGGCAAAGCTACGCCCGCCAAAGTGGATAGCGGCAGACTGATGTATTAATTTATAGCAGCTGCACAAATACCTTGTTTCATACCCCGAGCTTTCCTGACTCTCTAAAACTGAACGGTGTATGCTTTATCGAATGCCACCTCCAAACATGTAAAACGGTGGTAAGAAATGTACATGGCCTTATGTGTAGTAGATTGTAGCCCCATATTGTTATTCCCCAGCGGTAGATATACCGGGGTTAACTAATAAACGAGTTCTAATCCCTTGAATGAGAATTTACTCTTTTAGCTATTTCAGAATGGTTTGTCCCAGATCCTGGAGCCATGTCTCACTATGCTTCGCGAGGCATTCTGGAATCTTGCTTGGCATGCAAAAAGCATTGGCATCGGAGATCTTGACCTACATGAGACTTGCATATATTTACTGACAGCTAGACCCTTGCGAATGGGAAGTTGCGGCAGACTCAATATTGAAGGGTCCATATTGTGGTCAGATGACTACGATTAGTGAAGTGACACAGTATACTCGACACTCGATACCGAGCTGAGGATACGTTATACGTTTGACGACATGCGGTGGTTTTAGATACGGTGCTCTATCTAGTACGATTCTAATATCCCTTTCGACCAGATGCGCGAGAGACGTGTCTCACTTACCTACTTGTCTATACATGCATGAGAGAGTACTAGACTGCAGAAAGAAAAGCGCAACAAACTGTGTATGTGGGGCTGGATACCTGGAATCACTCCACAGTCAATTTAAGCTTAAGCAATTTCCCTTGGTATTCCGAGATTTCGATTACCCCACCACCTTCTAAAGTCTCACTAACCTGCAGCTTTTCTCCCTTTTTATTCTGTTTATGCATGAGCATGACAGAAGTGATAAACGGGCACAAGCTATTCATCTATATATATGTACCAGAACGAAAGCTCCCCTTTTCGTGAAAAGATAAGAAAGAATTATATAACCTAACACAAACTCCTTCCGGAACTGAATCGCCGGGAATACGTACAATTTTTAGCCGCTTGTTGACACCAAAAATCGCCACAAGCGCCGCTCCCCTAAATCAACGTTTCAATCCAGCGACTCAATTAAAAATCCATAATGAGTGTTCACACAAAGTACGTATAATTGCATCGCTAACATTAACGAAGCACGATACTAATATGGCACCTCACACGTATGCGTGTGTGATGAGTTCAGGCTTCCGTCATTTTCCGAATTAACCGCAACCTTCGAAAACGATTCGCCACCAATACATATTGATCATTCTTCGGATACGCTCATATCTTCCCATCATAGTACAGTACTTATAAGAAAAAGTGACTCCGAAAACACCCCTACCGAGGGAGGACAAAATGGAATTATCGACCACACAAGAAAGAAAGCATCTTCTAGCAATAGTGGCAATGCTGATATCCCGCTCAATTATCAGTTCCCATCGTCCATACACCCCCAACCCCGTTCACTTACACTGCCCGGTCACTCCCTAGACTATTCGATACCGTCGACAGACGGTTTTATTCCAACGGAGGAACGTGCCTTCTCGTACAAACGGAACCACAGTACTTCCTCCTCGGTAGATCAAGATAGGTTGAAATCCCAGACACGAATCAAAAACCGATCTTCGTCTTTGGATGCGTTGGCCGAGGTTTCTAGCAAAATGTACTGGCTGGATGATACTTTTCGTCACAACAGAGATGACATGAAAACCAAGCTACTTCATGGGCTAGAGAATGCCCTAGCCTGTTTTGAAGAAAAGGAGGGACTCTGGGCAGCGGTAGGGAAAATCATTAATGATAACTTTGAAGATGATCGGTGCCCCAGTGAAGTACTCTACAACTATGACAGATCAACAAAACCTGTTTCAGTTTCTGGCAAGAGGAATGGTGCTTTTCAACCCAGCACCGATCTCATCTTCAAAAGGCAGAGCTTGGATCTCTTGTTGGAAAGTATACCTTTAGAATTGCTTGAGGTGAATATCCAAAATTCTCGGATGATTATTGATATTCTAGACGATTGGAAGCAATATAAACAGGATATTGAGAATGACAAACTCCAGTCTTGGAGAAATGGTGGTAGTCAGATCCATCAAGTAGACGAAGATTTTGACACCGAAGGCTTCCAGGTTCACGTCGGAGATATGGCTCAACCCGAGGACGAACATCCTGTCAAATTCTCTGCCTTATCTGGGCCTACCTCGAAAGTTATTCCAAGACCCACAAATGCCCACTCTTCTTGTCTGACTCCAAAAACATGGATCCTGAATGATGAAAATTGGAATCAAGCAAAAACGGAGAAAATTCATAAGTGGAGGAACGACACTGCACGACAGAAACCCAAGTCCGATGAAACGATTAGGGGTCTGTCAAATCAAAGCGCAGAAACAATTAGTTTACTTGTGAATCCTGTTTTCTTTTCCACTCAGAAGAGTAGTGGAAGCACGAGAGCTCCGACTCTGAAGAAACCCCCAATGCTTGCACTGCCACCCACCGCATCAGCCAAGAGTGGGTATAACGACGAATTAAGCAGAAAAAACCGAGAGAAGGTCCAGTGCTTGCAATGCGGTTCTACCGAAACCCCAGAATGGAGAAGAGGGCCATATGGTTCTCGAACCCTTTGCAATGCTTGTGGGTTGTTTCATTCAAAGCTCGTGAAGCGAAAAGGAGAAGCTGAAGCTGCAAAAATTATGCGGGGGCGATTACAGTCAGGCCAGGGTATGGATAGGAGAATCCTGATATTATGAATGATAACTTGTTAGGTTTTCTAGTAAATAGTGAATTAAAATGGGTTTGAAGTATCCATTGATATATATATATATATATTGGATTAAAAACTGATGGTTATATATTCTATGTGGATAATATATAATAATTGAGGACACCATCCACGTTTACCTATTGATAAGCCTCAATTCGAAGGCTCCATGGGAGCTTAAAGAACTAAACCGTTTCAACTCAGTATTTCTGCACAGAAAATACTGTCTTTTAGTTCAGGAGTTGTCCGTGATAGTTTAGTGGCTAGAATCCCCGCTTGTCGCGCGGGGGACCGGGGTTCAATTCCCCGTCGCGGAGCTTACCTTTTTCCTTTAAAAAACTACAATTTCTGGACCCCAGGTGTAGGTTCTATCGAGCATGTGAGAAAGACCGGGTGGCTCCGGTATCTTTAATACCATAAGCGCCTGGAAGAAAGCGGCGTGCGGAAATTTGATGAACACTACATCCAGGGACGAAGAACGTCAATGCGTACCCCTGAATACGAATTAAGGGGAACTCCAAGGCCTGTTAGTTTGAAGCATCAGGTAGAAATGTATGATTTGCATTTTATCCAATACGTCGTATTTTGCTTCCCGTACATGCACTATCAGTTGCAGCTCCTCCGGGGCGGGCTTACCCTAGTCCTCTATGCACCCAGATCTCGGAAAAGATCACTCTGATGCAGCATTTATCCTTTATTATGTGATTCGCACCAGCATTATATACGAAGATAATATAAACGGTGGCGTGGGGATCTAAAACGTGGAGTAATTTTTATGTAAAACCATTAGATTGGTTACGGGCGTCGATAAATATCCTACTTCATACTTGTTTACCGAAACATAGTTTAGGCTATTCCCACGTGTCTTCCATAAAAAGTATACATGAACATCCGACCTTAGAACCGAAAAATTTCGCGTAATTTTCTCGCAAAGCATACAGGGGTGTACTGGACGAAAAATTGTATGGATCACGTGTGGGAGACAAGAGGTTAGATTTGCTTGTGCCACTGACAGCATGCATAGCAGTAACTTGTGCATCGTGTATATGTGGACTCCACCTGCCAGGATATTTTTCCTGCACCTTGCTGCGCCCTCTGTGATATACTAAACATAGCATGGGGGATCCATTCTCCGCGGCAGTGTGACATGATCCTGTCCACTATGAATCTTATGGTATTGAATATCTCAATGCTGTTCTCGAAATTATACAGAACATTTTAACAATGAATTGGCACGGAGTGCCAAAGATTCAATAAGGGTGGGGAATAAGCTTAAGTATCGGCGAGGTGTAACATATACCGCATAGACTTAGATTGTCGTTCTCTGAGCACATGCTGTCGTTGCCGATTAGACTGGAGAAGTCCGACGCTGGTGCAACGATTTGCATGCCCGGTCACCCCTCCGCATCAGTGGAACGTCGACATTAGTGACATCTGTGAAAAACCGGTGAAGACTATATCAGCTTCTTCAATTTGACCAGGAGCTATAGCTGAAGAACTATTTGTGTACCACATGTGACCTATAAGAAAATGGTACGGCCAAAGGTCGCGTCTTCGTCTACAGAGCACTTTATATGGCTCGACCCGTCAAGATATACCCGCGTATTGACCATTCCAAGGACAAACACTCTAAACCGCCACGTCATGAATATTGTCACCATACCTTAATCTGGTGCGCACAATCCAAGACACCTTACCGTGCAAGTGTGTTTCAGGAGACCGAGATACTGTGTGTACCGTAATATGGATCTGCTGGTTCACAATTTACCAGCAGCTGCGGCCTACACGCTGAAGGTAAACGTATGTATGCGTGAATATATTACCCAGTCATGTTCTTAAAATAGAGGACATGCACCCTAGCTCGTATAATCCCTTGTTAGACATGTGCGCGGTAAGATGTCTGCCTTGCTATATTCTTGGCATGGCCCCCACTGCGGTAAACACTGATCTTCTCCAGGCCAAACATATAAAACCTCCATAGCCCCCAGAAAAATATTCACTTTTGGCACTCTTGATCCACACTAGATATCTCTGTTAGTATCCACTGCTTTCGCTTGTTATCACACAAAACACTGGCCGAAGAGTATTTTTACCATGAAATTTAATATCGTGACTATCTTAGCCTTCTTCCAGCTTACATTTTTCGTCGCCTTTGCTGCACCAAGTAAGTATCCCAGAGGAGGGACATACACAGTTTCTCCTTTCTTTCAACACAAATTCTAACAATTATCTAGTCAGCTCTGTCAGTGGATCTTTGTCGTCCTACGTCCTTGTGTTTGAAAACGGCGCAAACACACCCCAAGCGTAAGTCTTTTCTTGATGTTCCCGGTTCGACCGATCTTTACTAACAACCTTAAGCTATATCGATAAGGTCAAGCGCAAAATCCAACGATTGAAGGGCAAGATCACCTATGAGTATTCCACGGTTTTAACCGGCTTCCAGATTGAGATCGATGACGCCAGAGTGAACGAATTGAAAGTCTTATCTCGCTCTGGTCCACTGTCCAAGGCAGGCAAAAACAAAAACTCCTTGGAAACATTTTACTTGGAGAAAGACAGCCAAGTTTCTGCTTATATTTGATCAGTATGTCCCTTAGATGACGTGACACATGCACTGCTCACCCGTATACGCAAAAATCACTGAAATCCCACCCTTGTGCTTCTCGATATACTTATCTCTAGCTTGTATCGAGCTCCAAGTAATGTTCGAGGCTTGGGTACCAGATAGCTACTGACTTTCTGCTTCTACCTGTTGGCATGAAACCCGCAGTCGACCCCAACTCAGATCATTTATTCCAAGCCCCATTTCCTCGGAAAGGAATAGCCTGCGCTGGAGATTAGTGCTGCGAAAAAGTATTACCTGGAGTCCCGGGGTGGATAGACTTTCTTTTACATTCTATAGACACCCCTCCTGAAGAATGGCATTTCATACAAGAGTTTTGATAGATCATATTGCGCGAATGTACTGTAATCCGACACCAACCTATATTTGAAGTCTGGGATCTGCATGCTTATGAAGCTTTAGACGCAAAAAGCTCCGTGGCTTTGTGATCTACGGTAAATTAGCTACGAATCCTTACATAGGACACAATTTTCCAAATTTCTGCCATAAGTCATGTTTAAAGGCAACAGATTCTGACCATACGTGTATTTAGATATATATCCTTGGAAATGCATCATTAGTAACGTCTCGTCTGGTACTGGAATGGCAAACCTGTTGCTTAATACTCGTCTGCCAATCTGATAGACCTAATGCATAGTTGCTAATAACCAAAAGGGCTTGGGTGTCGCTTAACGTTCCAAATTGATAGAGTCACCAAACTTGGCGTACAAGTACTTCTTCAACTCCTCTAATTCTCCATCAATGGTTTCAATCTTGGATTCAATCTCCTCGATTTTACTATCAACCGTGGCTAAATCCTCCTCAACTCTCTCAATAACCGCATCCTTCTTCATCAAAATGAACGTGTCGCCCATTTTGTAGTTGATCTTGACTTCATTGCCTCCTTCATCGTCAAGCATCTCAATTTCTATCGCTAGATCATCAAGATACTCTTTGTCTTGCTTCTGTATGCTTAACGTTTGGGTCAACAAATCCTTGCGGGATATTAACTTGGAGAAAGAGTTGATCTTCGTCTGATCCGAAAGCGTAACCTCGGATGAGTGGTTATTGGTCTGGCCCTCCGCTAACATTTCCATTTTGTATGTGTGTGCTGTATAAGTTGTAACGGTACAAAGGGTGAAAAGTCCTAATTTGCAATTGCCAAGTCTGGTGTTTGAAACTTATTGGTAATGTGTTTTGTCGTAAGTACATTGATGGTATAGGCCTTTACCAGGTCTAGTATATTTTTCGGCTTACCTAAGCAATATGGTAAATGTGCTCGGCGGAAACACGTGATGCAGGAAAGTAGCGGACGCCGTTAACCAGCGTCCAAAAACAAACATAAACTTAAAAATAAAGCAGATAGCTGAGTAGGTTTCTTCTAAAATATTATTACGCTTTTAGCGTCATAAACTCTAGATTAAGCTGGGACTAAATGGTATTCACAGCTGTTTTCCTTAGCCGTCTGTTCCTTACTCGTTTCACCACTGACGCAGCTAACAGATGCAGACTCCGGATGCTCTGACCGGCGTGACAATAAATATCGAGTTTGAACTTTTCCAATTTAATGAGTTTAGTGGAAATAACGAGATCTTATGCTATAATTTACCTGGGTGAAGTGTAGTTCCACTAATTTGGAGTGTATCTAGGGTACTCGCGATATGATTAACATCCCTTCGATGTTGACTAGATCTTGCCTTACAGACTCGATACAGCATATGGTTCGACAATTTCCTGAAAACTAATTTTGAAAACCAATGAAAAGATCAATTAGTTTACCAGAAAGGGGTAGCAAACTAGTATAGAAAATGCCTTGGAATGATAGGGAGATCCATAAACAGGTATGGTATATTTAATTTCGAGCCATATTGGATCCACAACAAGTATACCGCCGCACAGAAGTAAACCAACTTGAGGGCAATCTTCTTAGTCAACGTCCACATCGGCGTGAAGAACTAATAGTCGATTGCTAAAATGACAAATGGAACTATACGGACAATAATCTCAAGGTCAAGCGGTAGAGAAATCTCACATTTGATCATCAACGAAAACTTGAAAAACTGAATTGGCCAATACACTACCATAGCAATACATTCCAAAGTGAATACAAATAGATGTGCAAGTGGTATTCAAGCCGAACAAGAATGGGATTTTGGTGAGATGGGCTATAACGCCTAGGAATGAATGAACAGAGGCGGCAAAGGCTATGTCTGTGACAAACTGGTGGTCACCTCCGTCACGTAAAGCACCAGGAAGGGCCCAGAATGGGAGTAGGTAAAACCCATGGAGACCAACAATAAGGGACACCGGACTTAAGATTAGGGCTGCACTATCTCCAACTGTTCGCATTTTCAGCTCGCTGGTTTGGCCGAGGACTGGCCCAAGAGTGGTAAGGCAGGTACTCATCCTTTATACGATTTTAATTTTTTCGCTGTGCTGGGTAAGCTGTGTCCAGCTTCCCTGTATTAGGCTAGCTACCACTGGCAATAACGAAGTGACCATTTATCTTATGAAAATGGCGGATAATGGATGCTATACATATACCGCCTATCTGAGGATGGTTTATTTGTCCCTTGATGCGCGCGTTTGAGTGTCAATTAGTTAGCCCGTAGTCAGCGCAAAATTTGAAAAACCACTCTCAACAATTCCGAGCCATGATCACACTTTGAGACTATGTAGATGGCCATAATTTAAGGGCAAAAACAAAATTCATCATAACAGTATATCTACGTTGTGAACTCATAACTATGTGATATTTATGCCGAGGTGAATTTCAATCAGCTTGAACATCGATCAGTATTTGTATGCATGTGTTCTGTGGGGTCTGTCTGAGACGCATGCATGCCGAGCTGCGTATGTGACAACTTAATTCGATTGTTTACCGTGCCACTGGAATACCTCCACCTGGCCAGTTTCGCTCCCGATGAACTTATTAAATAAAGTCTTTTGTAACACGAAATTGACAAATGCAACTCCCATAATAGATGCGTATGTGACAAATCTCTGCGCTGTCGGAACGTTTAAAAAGGGGTACGGGAAGTGTGACAACTTCAACGCATGTTCTAACCAGTAGTAGTAAGCCAAAGTGCACACTACACAAAGCGCGAAACCACTCGAATTAGAGATTTTCCAAGAAGGCATGAACAACCAGTAGTCGATAGTTAAACTGACAACCGGCATCAAATGGACGATTAAGTCCAAAGATAGTGGCGGGGGAGGGCCCCGGTCCGCAATCGTATGAAAGAAGAAAATCCAGAATGGCCAGTAAACTCCCGCCACTACGCTTTCTAACGTTAAGGCAACAGCATGGAGCTTATTTTTTATAGTGAAGAGTGTGCTACTCTTGGTAATATGAGCTACCGCACCGAGGCAGAAAACTACCATCGAGATTCCTAAGGAGATATTGGTCAAAAATTGTGAGTGACCACCCTTGTGAAGCGATTCGTGGAGTTTGGTGTCAGCTATCTGAAGGAAGCCGTAAAGACCCATTATAATGGATATGAGGCTGAGGGAAAAAGCCGATGTGTTACCGGCTGATCTCATCATGGTGACGGTTTAGATTTTGATGATTTATAGCATGTGCTCTTTTGAGGCTTGATTGTAGTAGGTTATTAGGAAAATTTCGATAGGGAATGAGGGTAAGGCCAGTTAAAAAAACTAGAAGGTGGAGAATGAAAATTTTCAATCTACGTATTAATGCAGAGGAGCTTACCTCGAAGGCTTAGAGCAAGCCTAAAGATAAAGTTTTTTTCCCCTTCTATTTCGAGAAAAAAGAAATTAAGAAAGTGTGATGTTAAATCAGCGTGTGACTGATACAGACCCTAGCAAGGGCGCTATAAGAAAATAGAGAAAAACAAGGCCAGCACTGATTACGTCATTAGACATGTCCTTTTCAAGGCCGGAATTTACTTTTGTTCTGATTTCCCAAATATTGCGGCTTGTAGCACTATTTACAGATTTATACGAGATTGAGACTTGGAGATACGGTTGGGAGAATTAGAGTTCGATAGCCAGCGTGCTTTGCCATTTAAGAAGCTTATGCCCCGTAGGCACCGCTAGGTAATACCAGAAATTCTGTTAATCATCTCTGGAGATAGGGCTCGACCTTCAAAAACTCCCCACATTAATATTCTACCCTTGGAATATCAGACCTTACAGCTTACAAGCTTTAAGCTCGCCGAGTTCAGTAAAACGCTTACTCAACATCGCTTGAAACTCGGAGTAAACTGAAAGAACGGGTGCTCTTATAATCACCCAACGTTGAAATCTGAATATGCAAAGAGAAGGCAACCGAAATGTCTCTTTTAGAAATTCAGATTCAGCACCATAACTACTTAAAAGATCTAGATTTGTTGTGAAAGATCCGGTGGGTGCATTTAGGGTCACCTACCTCTAGGTCGGCTAACATGGATATGTGCTTTCATTACAGCCGCTACGATAACACACTGATGAAACGAACTGACCCGCTGCCCCAGACTATTTGGTAACGCGAAGGCAGTAAGTATATAATACCAGATGTTTGATTCGTGAGAAAATTCTACGGTATTAAACATTATCAAGCCGTGAGTTCTATACCAGCCTGTCTTGGTATAGAACTTATATTGTAAGTTCCTTAATCAGAGGCACGCCAAAACATGTTTTAGACCACTAGTGTGCTATAATTCCACAACTTCCAACCTTTATAAGAATCACGGGTATTTTAAGAGATAACTAAAAACCATTAAATTTTTAATTTTCAATCACCAACCCTATAAATCGTCTTTCCAAGCCAGTCACTAATTTTCTCATCCGCACCTCCTGCCCCATATCTATATAGCAACCACCTCCGGGCGTGCTCCGACCAGATCCACCGGGTAACGTTCTCTGAGGAAAAAAATAGCCGCTATAACATAACATCGAATGGCTCCTCACCCTACATCACTCCTCCATTTCCATCAGTATACCTCTTTCGCAGAGACATTGAAGATCCCGGTCTGAATTCATCCTGCTATGGTCTTTCAATCTTCTCCTGGCAACGTTTTGGCGCCCACGCTCCAGCTCGCACCCGCCCCCTCCACAGCGCCCGTGTACCTGCAGTTGCTTAAAAACGAACCGTGTGTGTACCAAACTCAGGTGCCCAACGCGGCCAGCTTGTCGCCGGTAGCATTGGGTGCGGCATACGTGAGTAAGACTATCGAAGTCGACAGCAACTCACCACAGTTGTACGCGGACCAGGCCAGTTTCGACAAGTACAACTTCCTCAACCAGCAGCTGACAGGTGTGTCACGGTTCCTGAAAACGCGGTCCGTGAGCCTTCCAGATAAGTTGTATGAGGAATTCAACTCTACCGAAGTGTCCACCAAGATGGGGCTTTTCCCCGAGATCAATCGCGCATGGGTCATTGTCGACAACAAGTTGAACCTCTGGAACTACGACGAGCCGGCCGCCGCAAGCATCACGTCCATTGACGACATCCCTTATACGATCCTTGCAGTCGCAGTAGTCACGCCGAAGCCGCGGGTGTTTGTCGCGGACATCTCGCACCTCTTGGTGGTGTCCACACCTATTGACATCTACATCTTCCTCGTGAAGTATTCCGCCACAACGAATGCAGTTGAGGTATTCAACGCGGAAATGGCCGTACCGGCGCAGGGCCTTGCAATCAACCGCATTGTGCAGCATGCTGCGACGCGCGACATCTACATGGCAGGTGAGGGTGACGGCTGCAACGTGTGGCGCTTGGAGTACTCCAACAAGGAGGACTGGTTCAATAGCAAGTGCTCCAAGACATGCTTGACGCGCCTGGGCTTCACGGGCATGGTGCTTCCCGGTGGCGGCATGTTGAAGAAGATTCCGGGACTCCACTACCTCACAGCTGACCCCCAGGAGATTGTTGCAACAACCTCCTCTGAGACCATCATCCAGATGGAGATCGATCAGTCGCGCGGCATCTTGTACACGCTCTCGTCGCTGTCGATCATCCGTGCGTACCGTTTGGTCGACGGCAAGCTCGGTGCGAAGCAGACAATCTCGCCTCGCGCGATCATTAACGACCTCTCCACGACGATCGGCAACCTCCATCAGATCGAGACCTTGCGTGCAAATGCGTTTAAGCTCGTGGGTATCCACTTTGTCGCGAGCCAAGAGCGCGGCAACTTGTACCTCGTGGCAGTCACCAGTTTTGGTTTGCGCATCTACATCAACGGGTCGATGTTCTCCACAGGCTTGGCCCTAAAGACCGCGCGCGTCAAGTTTCCGCCGTCCAAGACAGCCCTCCACGACGACGAGAAGGAATACATGCGCCAGTTGGTGCACAACCAGCAGCACTCCACATTGTTGAAGAACACTAAGCTCACGCAGATGATCGCGCCTGGCTGTTTCGTGGCCGTTAAAGCGACCAAGAACTATGATAAGTTGTTTGTCAGCATTCCCAACTACGGTTTCTTGAAGAAGACGGCCGAGTTTCTCGAGGACTGTGAGTTTCTCCTCGACAGTGGCGACCTCGGCAGTGGCTGCTTCATCAACGATGTCGTGGTCACGCAGCCGTTTGCTCTGGAAAGCGCTAATGTCTATGCCAGCCAGTACCTCCATGACAGCATGGAGTTTGCGGTGCTCACCAACATGGGCGTGAACTTCTTCCGGTACCGCACACCTGACGTGGTACTCCAGCACGCGTTACAGGCGGGTCCGGGGCCAGACCACCTCCAGAGCTTCATGGAGCTCAACGGCATGGAAGAGACGTGTTCCTCATTATTATACCTCTCGTGCAAGATTATCGGTGGGGGAACGGGCTTTGAGAGCAGCACCGGGAGACCGACCGCGGCCTTCCGCCACCAGGTCCAGACACTCTTTGCCACGAGCGGGTTGAATGCGCGCATGCCCGTAAAGGCGCTCACCGCGACGCCCTTCAGCCGTCTCCCGGTGCCTATGGCGTCACAGGCACCCCAGACCGTTGACCAGGTCATCTTAAGTGACCGGTTCTACGGGATAGTCCTCCTTGTCTCGCGGTTGTTCCGCGAGTACTGGCACCAGAAGGTGTTTGTGCCGCTCGAGAACATCAAACTCGTGCTGAACGGCATCCTCAAGGACTCCGTCAAGGATGACGTGGTAATCAAAAACCTCAACACATCGCTTGAACAGTTGGAGTTCTTTATCGGATCGATCCTCATCCTCCTTGAGTTCTTTGAGCGCTTCGGTAACAGTATCCCTGGCCTCAACGCGCCGCAGATCGTCACCGACCCGTTCAACGCGCAGAGCGAGGTGTGCATACGCGCCGAACACATGGCGTTGACCGCACTTCTCAAGTTATTGCACTCCATGAAGGAGGCGTTATCGTTCCTCATGGTATTAGTGGAGGAGACGCGCAACAACAAGCCGGAACACTTTAAGGAAATCCTTCGGTTCATGTCTGTGCAAAACCAGGTCAACCTCCTCGCGTTGACCTTCCGTGACTTTATGGCGCCTGCAGGCGATGACGTGCGTAACTTGATCAAGGACTTGCTCTCTGCAATCTTGAACAAGAACATTTTGAAGGGCGGGTCGATCGACCTCGTGGCGACGTCATTACAGGAGAAGTGCGGCTCGTTCTGCTCGTCCAGCGATGTGGTCATCTTCAAGGCGATCGAAAAGTTGACCAAGGCCAAGAGCATCGGCGACCGCGACCCCGAGTTGAAGGTGAAGAACTTGACGGAGTCCGTAGCCTTGTTCGAGCAGTGCTCGGCGGCGCTCACATTGGAAAACATCGAGAATGCCACTAACATCATGTTGGAGTTGGACTACCACCTGGGCGCCGTTCAGTTTGTGTTGAATGCCGCGAACAAGATCGACGTAGGGACAGATCCGAAGAGCCTCGCGAAGCGCAGCCGCTTGTATCGCGTCATCTTCCACATCTTGACCGAAGTGGACGGCCACGTCGCACGCGCGCACGACGCGAACGACCGCGCGCGTATCGCCAAGTACGGTGCGCTCCGCGAGAGTACTTACGCTACCGCGTTTGCGTACCCGGACGAAAAGTTCCACGCCGAGTTTTATGACTGGTTCCGCGACCAAGGCATGGCTGACCGCTTCTTAGATATCGACACTGACTACATCTTGCCGTACCTTGAATTCCGCGCCAAGACCGACCGCGAGCTTGCGGAGTTGTTGTGGGCGTACTTTGCCAAGCGCGAAAACCATTTTGAGGCCGCCAAGATCTTGTATTCGCTTGCTGTATCGGACTTCCCGATACCGTTGACCAGCAGAATCGAGTATCTCTCACGCGCGAACGGCTTCGTCAACTGCGTATGTCCGCCGCACTTGCGCCAGCAGATGGTGCTGTTGGGCGGGATTGTGAACGAGTTAGCGGACGTGGCGTCGATCCAGTTGGATGCGTTGACCACGATTGAGAGTGACGACCGTATTTCCCTATCAGTCAAGGCGGCCGCCATCGCGGCGCTCAACCGCAAGGTCCTCAGCATTTCCGAGATTTTCAATGCGTACGTTGACCCCTTGGGCTACTACGACTTGTGTCTCGTCATCTTCAAGGCTTCCGACTACAAGAATACCGACGATATTTTGAAGCGCTGGGAGTTATTGTTCGAGAAGGTAGTAGCGGACTACCGCGCCAGCCCCGGTGCCAGCGAGCCACTTCACATCATTCTCGGGTCCTACTTCACCAGCATGGGCCGCAAGGTGGCGGACCACGAGTTAGTGTTCCCCATCGACGAGTTGTTCAAGTTGTTGACAAAATACGTGTATGGTGACGGCAGTGGGCCTGCCGGCTGCATCGTAAACATGTTTGTGGAGTCCGGTGTGGGCTATGACAAGTTGTACTACGTGTTGCGCGACATGGTCGAAAACAGTGTCGAGTGCTTCCCAGGCTACGGCCAGCGGTTGAGGGATGAGATGGTGTACTTGATCAAGCAGTGGGTGCATGGCGATAAGCATTTGCGAGGGGTTGTTGACGTGCGAGGGTTGGAGAAGTATGAGATTGAGACGGATCCCATTGCATTGTACCTTGGAGAGTGATTCTCCGGGGAAACCAAAGCTTTCTGACAAGAGAGTCAAAGATTGGTCTTTAGCGGAGTTGCTTCTGAAGACTATTCCTCCGTCTGTGGTGCCACTGGGGACCCAGAAGGTCACCCCAGTTAGATCCTCTTTGATGCTTCTTCTCTATCTTTCTCCTTAGATGCTTCTGAGATAGAGATTGTAGCCGATGTTGCTCTAAAAAAAAACCTGTAATATAAAGCCTTTGGCTCAACTTATGTACACTAATGCAGCATTATGCATGCCACCATACCTGTAAAGACGGAAGATGTCTTCCTGATCTAAACGAGGTAGGTCCAGTGTGGGAATTCGAGATCCTTTGTGGGAGCTTACTAAGCCCAAAGATACAACCAGATGTGTTTCCAAGGGGTTGGGTCAGAAGTCTTGGTACCTTGACGGGAACGCCAAAGAAACCTATAATTTAACAATCGGGGCACAACCTTTGTGCCATACAACTACATACGATTATAGGCAGGCTCAAAATTTGAATAGAGGTTTTAACAGTTGAGGGGTATCCACCAAAATATTATATAAAAACTTAATAGCATTATGTGTTAAGGGGGATACAAGTCCCAAACTTGTTCAGAAAGGTATTAAAACTACTATACAACATTATAAACTGGATTTTCGCGTTTATTGTTCCTCAGAAGCCTCTTCCACGTTCTTAAACACAAGAACGTTGATTTCCTTCTGAAACAACCGCAAACTAGACGCCTTAGAGCCGTCTTCTCTCTCGTAAACCGATCTGGAGGCGTCACAGGTAACCTGAACAAGAGAGCCCTTGTTGACGTAGTCGTTGATGAACTTGATCTGGTTTTCGCTGAAAACACCGACTTCAAACCAAGAGGTTGGACCATCCCTCTTTGGCTGCACTGCGACAGAGTAACTAAGGAATTCTTTGCCGGCTTGGGTGGTGGCAGTTTGTGGCTGGGTGATTCTGCCAATGAGGGTCATGGTGGCAACAGAGCTAGCGTTTCTCTGGAACATACCAGTAAGGGCTGGTCTCAATGGGGATAAGGTGGATCTGAGCATTGTTGTTAGAATAGGGCTTGTTTTAGGGAATTGGGTATAGCGGTGTTTTTGTATGCCCCCGCTACGAACGTGTTTAGAAAGATGATATATCAGTCAGAAAGCCCTAAGGCGAAAATACGCCATGCGCACGACCTAGAAGGCTGATTACCCGATTTGGTTTTACTGCAATTTAACCTGGATGGCAACTAAGTGTAGCGGGTATCTGAGTATTTTGGTTTTATTGTCAAACTCGTCGGACAATAAAACCGAACTCTAAGTGTCCGAATGTTGGAGATAAATAATTAGATATTGTGAATAAGTGGGACAGTGGTTATTTTAGAGAATTTATCTCTTTAGTTTGGTACGTGTGGAAAAACTTGAATACAAGCTAATTTGCCACTGTAAATAGCTACTTGGTGTAAAGTTACTTTTTTTCCAGGATGCAATTTAAATAATGCTAGCGGTGGAGCACTACTCTATCGTCTGATTTCTATTAGAAAGTGGTACTGGTCAAACCGCCATTCTACCTTATATAGTAAACGTTATGAATTTATCGGGCCTGTACCATTTGAGAGTATTTCAATCTCCCGGGTATGGAGCTGTCAGTCGGGTATAACAGAAAACAATATGGCGGCATCTCTGGAGAATATGTACTATTTGGGTGTTCAAGATCCTGGTTCATTGGGCTGGCTTATGGTTGTACCAGTAAGATTACGCGAAATTCCGATCTGCGGAGCATCACCGGTACGCACGGATGACCGTAGCTTGTTGGCCAGACCAAAAATCCTCAGGATTGGTTCTCTGATGGCACAATTTGGAATTTTGTTGCCACCAGACTTTAGTTAAATCGCCATTTAAAACAGCACCGCATTGCCGAATGGCGGTTAAGACCTGACGCACAATTCCTAGACCCGCGGTACTTGGAAACCAAAACAATGGTACGATCGCCTAGGAAAGCTCGACCTGTAGTTACCACGCGATGACCACATGCTTGCTCGACGCCCACGTCTCCACACATCAGAAACACAACTGTTTCTTTTCGCACACAAAGCACTTTACTTGTAGATACAATTTATATATATACATTCCCCATTGAAATAATATCTCTCACATAATGGAACGCACCGAAAGTGTCATCAACTTGACACAATCCCCATTATACTCCATCATCGGCAAGGACTCCACCGATGACTTCGACCCCGCTCATCCAAACACCTCGGCTCAGGACTTACTCTACCATCCACCGGCCCGTCTGTCTAGATTGTCGCAACAAGTGGCGGAATCCGAAGACGAAGCCGACGAAGCCGACGTGAGGGTCACTCACAAGCCGAGACCATCCCAGGTCTCTCGAGTGCTTCGCGGTATCCTCAAGGTTTTGGCTCTCTCGGCTTTGGGGAACTTCTTCTATCAGATGTCCATCCACTTACACAACCACAGCATCTTGGACCACAGCATCACCTCCAGACCGTTAATCTTTGGACAACTTGTCTTGCAAGCCGCATTCAAATACTTGCCAATTGGCACTGAATCCACCTTTGTGTTACCGCAATGGGCTATCAACTCTGTGGAAGGGGTTCTTTTTGGGGTTTCGCAGCCGTTATTTGACCGTTACATTATGTACACGCCCATCCGCCGCGGCAGCGGCATCAATAATGTCTTGCGCGCCTCCATGGCCCTCGTGGGGATCGCCTACGGAGTCCGCAAGATGGAGTGGGCCAACCCCATGCAAATTTCGTTGATGTGGTCTGCTTTGAACATTATCTTGTGGGGCTACTTAGACACTACGGCAAGCGGCTTCATCTTGAGTTCGATTATTGCTGCCGTTGTGATGCTCATTCTGGGGGGTGTCCAGGATGCGGCTGATGCCTTGAACCACTTTGGAGCAGTCGATCACGGCAAACTTGCGCAGTACTTGTGGTTGGCGAGCTTCTACTTTTGCGGCGCCATTATCTTTGGTCAGGTTGGGCGGTTCTTCTATCGTTGAGGGCGTAAACCACCGAGTACTGGAGTGTCCGTTTCCTTGCACATGTTCAGACACCCTCTACCGACCAAGGATATAGATATGGTCTCATTTTGTTAGTAGGTGTCTATATTATTTTCATCTCCATGTTTGGTGACAGGATTCGAATCATTTCTTTAGTAGATCCAGTTAATTAACTGATATCATCACGAAATATACTTAGGTGTGACTCTATATTGGGTAGAGCTCAGGTACTCCGACATGAACTTCTCACGTGATCAATACTCAGTTATTGCCTTAGAGACGCCCTAGTTCTCTTTATCGACTCTCTCCTTTTACAATTTGATTATATAGCCTCATAGTCCTGGTATCCTTTTCACGATATCGGTGCTTAGTTTCTGTCGCCTTGTTAAGACTGAAAAAGAGATTTTAATTTTGTGGGTAGGTATCCTAGGATTCGGCTACCCTCGAAAACGTGACTCCTGCGCGATACGCAATTTACGCTTTGAGGGGCATAGGTCATATATTCCTTCACCTCCACCACTATTTCTTTAGCTTCCTCACTCTCATTTTAACAAGAACCCCACACAATTACCCCCAACCATGTCTGACTTATCTCCTGATGATCCTATGGCTCCGCCAGCCAACACCGATAACCTTGACTTGAACAAGCTTTCGCCACAGGAGTTGAAGCTCTACCGCTTATACGGCAAGCTTCCATCGAAGCAGTCTATCCTCCAGTCTAAGTTGAAAGACAGAAAGTACTTTGACTCCGGTGACTATGTGATGCAAAAAGCTGGAAAGGCTGGCGCTGCCGATATCAACGGTGGCGTGGGCAACAAATTGGTCAACTACGATCATATCCAGCAGATTAACCGCAACAACTCCATCGTCAACGGCTACGTAAAGAAAACCGCGGACAGTGAGCCAGACGATAAGTTTGTAAACGGCACCAGCCAATTGGAAAGAGAGGTTGCCCAGGAGTAGCCTGTACCCACGAATGATGAATCCACCCGCGTGCGGGACTTATTTCCTTTATAATCAATTCCTTTATAGTTTAATGAACATACAATCACTAGTACGCAGGCTCCGATGGAAACTGAATATAGCCATCTCGTTGTAGTAGGTCACCGACTGTTGTGAGCATGGGCTGTTAGTATAGCAATTCACTGATTCCTAGTCTATAGCCTGGAGTTTTGCCTCTATCAAAGGATACTTTGAATAGCTGGTTGTATTTAAACTCGCATGTCTTGGGCAGGAAGGGTGGAAAATTAAGCAGCTTTGTTATTTATGGGCTAAATAGTCTGTTCTTATGCATTTATTGGCAATTGCATACCAGCGCTCACAGGGAATACTCTATGCTTCACACCCTTGTCTCATGGTGTATATATGCAATGTCCTGTGGGAGTATCAATAGTATTACCTCAGCATTATTCCGTGGCTGAATGTTAAACCTTATTCGGCAAGCCGGTGATTAATCTCGTCCTTACAGTATTGATATTGCTGACCCATTAATATATACACGAGGCCATTTGATAGCTTCTCTAACTTCTATCATTGAGAAATCTCCCGTTGTTCACGCCGCTATTCTTCTCCACAATATCCCACAATCTGTCCATCTTAAATCCACCCACCTCATCGGCGATATAGAAATGTCTTTGAACGTTAGAAGTGAGCTCGTGATCCTTCCAGTTGACCCAGCCAAGCCTGCTAAACTCCTTGGGATTGACGAGTCTTAAGCCGTCAAGGTAAACCAACTCATTGTACACATTGGTCCCTGTCCAATTCAACTTTTCAAAGACAAACTTCTCATTTGTGGTCAAGTTTTCCAACGTCTGTGGCTTGGAGTCGTCGTAGATGCGGAAAACTCTGGTGACGTAATCCTTCGTGAAGAAGTGAACGAGCGGCACCGGCAAGATGGCAAGACCCTGGATAAGATTAGATACTAGATCAGCGCTCAAAGACGTACCGTTGTACACGTGCAAGACTCCGAAGATTGTGGCGGATAGGACGAGAGAAAACTTCTTCACGGCGGAGATAAACGTGATAGAGGGCGAGACGTACATCGGACTCCAACCCTGGCGGAAGTTGGGCTCCAAGGTAGTATGGCCAATCGTCCACGGCTTTCTGATTTTGATAGTGGTGTCGTTTGACGGGTTTTTGAACGGCTCGAACTCGATTGGCGAGTCGTGGTTAAGGTTTGTGTCTCTGTAGTTGAGGAGTCGGGTTTTAATCGAAAAAGATCTAAGGGGATACCCAAGAGGGAAAAGGCCCTTGGAGAGCGGAACTCTCATAAGACCACGGCTCAACATTGTATGAGCTGTTCCAAGTTATCTATCTGGAGATGTATTGTGAAACTATCATAGCATATGTATGGTACGATCACTTCTTAGGTCTGAAAAGTACGCAGGATTTTCTACAACACAGGAGCTTTTTTTTTTCTTTTTCCCGTGTTTTGCCAGGCACTTTAAAAAAGAGTCTAGCGCTTAAAAATAGCTTTGCGGTCACTTAATATTCGTTCCACTACTCTTCGCAAACACAAAATGGACAGTGACGCCACCACAAGATTTGTGCCAGAATACAGAAGAACCAACTTTAAGAATAAGGGTCGCTTCCAGGCGGATGAGTTGAGAAGACGCCGCGAGACCCAGCAGGTGGAGTTGAGAAAGGCAAAGCGCGACGAGACATTAGCCAAGAGAAGAAATCTTGTTGACTTTGCGGACGACTCCGAGGATGAATCGGACGCCGGTGGTGAGGAGACCAGCTTCTACCAGCAGTTGCAGAGCGAGTTGCCACGCATGATGGAGCAAATTAACTCCGACGTCTTCGACAGCCAGTTAGAGGCAACCGTCAAGTTCAGACAGATCCTCTCCCGTGAACACAATCCGCCGATTGACTTGGTCATCGCCAGCGGCGTCGTTCCAAGATTGGTATACTTCATGGAAAACCAGCCGGAGATGTTGCAGTTGGAGGCAGCTTGGGCGTTGACGAACATCGCTTCCGGTAACTCTGACCAGACAAAGACAGTCGTTGAGTCCGGGGCTGTGCCGTTGTTTGTGGGGCTCTTGTACTCCAACTCGTTGGAGGTCAAGGAACAGGCAATCTGGGCGTTGGGTAATGTTGCCGGTGACTCCTCTGCCTACAGAGACTACGTGTTACAGTGCAACGCCATGCCACCGGTGTTGAACTTGTTCGGCTCCAACAAGATGACCTTGATCAGAACTGCCACTTGGACTTTGTCCAACCTTTGTCGTGGAAAGAACCCACAACCGGACTGGAACGTTGTGTGCCAGGCCATTCCAACCTTGGCCAAGTTGATTTACTCTGTCGATACTGAGACCTTGATTGACGCCTGTTGGGCCATCTCTTACTTGTCTGATGGGCCGCCAGAGGCAATCCAGTCCGTTGTCGACGCCAGGATCCCAAAGAGATTGGTCGAGTTGTTGGGCCACGAGTCCACCCTCGTCCAGACCCCAGCCTTGAGAGCTGTCGGTAACATTGTCACCGGTAACGATGTGCAGACCCAGGTTGTCATTAACGCTGGTGTATTACCAGCCTTATCTCCGTTATTGAGCTCGCCAAAGGAGACCATCAGAAAGGAGGCCTGTTGGACCATTTCCAACATCACCGCTGGTAACACCCAGCAGATCGATGCCGTCATCGAAAACAACTTGATCCCCCAGATCATCAGATTGTTGGCTACTGGTGACTACAAGACCAAGAAGGAAGCCTGTTGGGCCATCTCCAACGCCTCTTCTGGTGGTTTGACCAAGCCAGACCAGATCAGATACTTGGTCTCCCAGGGCTGCATCAAGCCGTTGTGCGATTTATTGACCATTGCGGACGCCAAGATAATTGAGGTCACCTTGGACGCCTTGGAGAACATCTTAAAGATGGGTGAGATGGACAAGGAAGCCCGCGGTGCTAACGTCAACGAGAACGCCTTGTACATTGAGGAGGCCGGTGGTATGGAAAAGATCTTTGACTGCCAGAATAGCGACAATGACAAGATTTACAACAAAGCTTACTCCATCATGGAGAAGTACTACTCCGGTGAAGATGAAGGCATTGATGACGGTTTGGCCCCAGAGGCCAACGGTGAGACGTTTGGTTTCGGTGTCCAACAACAACCTCAAGGTGGGTTCCAATTCTAAAACCAGCAGTACCTCATGCCTCATCTCCCAATCCTTATTCTTACCCTTTGTCATATTATTTTTTAGTCATTTCTTATAGTCATTTCTAGTCATTGTGGGTTGCGGCACCAGCCGTAAGTCTCCATCTCTCTCTCTCTCTCTCTCTCTCTCTCTTCCTCTCCTTTTTTAATCTCTTCCCCTAATATATCGGTCTCTTTTTGCATTTTACGCTGGCTCTCTTTTAATTCCTCCAGGCGTTGCCATCCCAGTTGATCTGGAGAATGAACTTTTTTCACCATTAGAATAGCTCTCAGAGTTATAATCCGGCCCTTATTGATATACACAAGCGTCAAACCTGCTAAAAGTCACAAGCGATAATCCGTTTATTGACCTCTCCGGCATATAAGGGGTAAGCAATAACGTAGGCCAGTAATTATGGCTTGGTGGTTCTCCGCTAAGTTGAATTTTGGTTCTGTTCATCCTTCCGGTAGGGCTTTCTATCCTCCCTCTGGATGTCATGTTGCTTGAAGACACCAATTTCTGCTGACGGACTAAACGCCACAGCAAGTATCAGCCTTTCTGTAGGAGGTCCCTTTGCCATACATCTAGTGTCTTGAACCTCAAGACACTCTAGGGACCCGGTCAGAGCAGTTGCGATTTATACCTTTATTTACTACAATAAACTCCTAAATTATACAATTCCAAGGCAGTCACAAACCTGCATCGGTCATATGGCTAGACATTAAATGGGCTTCCAAGATATCAGCTTTTCAAGCTTCCAACATATTCAACTTCGCCTTCAACTCGCCCTTTAAGAAATCCAATTGGGCAATCTCATCTTCGATCTTTGACCTCAATTCATCAACATACTTGTAGCCCTGCTTGAGACTTGCTTCAGAAACAATAACGCCGCCGTGCCCTAACTTGGTCAATTCAATCTCCTCCTTCTTCGACTCAATGGTTTGTTCGTTTTGCGATAAAAATGACAACTTTCCGCGTTTCACCATACTTGTGACCAATTCATACACCACTTGGGCACCGTTGGTAGTGGTGACTTCACTGTGGTCAAATGCCGGGTTTACTTCAACCACGTCCGCACCGACCAAGTTCAACCCCTCCAATTTTCTCAAAATATAGATGAGTTCTCTTGGTAACAACCCACCGGATTCAATGGTACCAGTACCCGGAGCAAAGCCTGGGTCTAAGCAATCAATATCCACTGATAAGTATACTGGCTTATTCTTAGGGATTGTTTCCAAAATTTTGTCAACAACATAGTTTACCCCAGACTGGTGAATCCAAACATCGTCAGCGGAGATTCGGGTAAATCCAAGATCCTCATCTTCATCGTTATCCTCCTCTCCGTTCAATCTGGTTCTCAAGCCCAAGTGCACGTTGTTATTAGCGTTGATAAGGCCTTCCTTCGCGGCCATCCAAAGCATGGATCCGTGAGTGAATTCTGATTGCTTCGAATGCCAAAAGGAGGGGTATTTAGAGGGTGACCAGGTATCCAAATGCGCGTCAAAATGGATCACATGGATCTCTTGGTTATCTCCGTTGTAGGCCTTCTTCAACGCCCGTAAATGAGGCAAAAGGATGGAGTGGTCACCGCCCATAGCGACTAATCTTGGAAACTGGGTCCTTGAGGCCCCCGCTTCCGTAACATTTCTCTTGATCAAAAGCTCTTCAAATCCAACCGTCATCTGTCGTAAGGCAAGATTGTTGTCCATTGGAGTAACAGGGATATCGCCACAGTCAATCACCTTGGCCCAATCATTGTAAGGGTTAATGCCGGCACGAGGGTTGTACCCCCTCAACTTGGTTTGACGAGCAGAAGCAGCACGGATTCCCTTCGGGCCGAACCTAGCCCCAGTTCTGTATGTCGTGGCTGTATCAAATGGTACTCCGATGATCCCGATGTCAAAGTCGGTATCTGGCTCAACGAGGCACTTATGATAAGGCAAGTGCGCGTAGGAGCTCAAACCGGAGAATGGCCAATCTTCTCCCCAGAGTTGGTCCAAAGTGGGAGGTTCACTCTGGGGGTTGCTCTTGCCAAAGATCCCGAGCAGGACTTGACCTTCTAGAGCAGAAACCCTAGCCTGTGACGTTCCAACAAGTGACACAATAATGGAGGTGAGAATTGAGATAGACAATTGCATAATTATTGAATTGCAGTCTGAATGGCAGCTATAATGAAGAGCATTGCAGGGTTATTGATTCATTACCAGTGCTCGAGTTGAATTTATACCTTTCTATGGAAGAGGCTGACGGATTAAAATTCCCGCTGCGGGTAAATTCCGCTTTAATTCCGTGCGGGGGGAGATCTACCTACCACTTTGGGACTAGCCGCTAAGAGTCTGGAGCGGAACGTGGGGACCTATCTACTGCCATCTTAACGCTTACGGTAAGTTCGGCAGGTGCCGTTTCGGCGTAGGTTTCTGGGAGTAATTAAATTCTTAGAATCAGATTCCGGATTGTGTGGTTTCTGATTCATAGACATTTGACAGACGATGCGACTGGCGGGATTTACGCCCGCTGTCGTAGACGTTTCGTAGAGAACTTTGCCAAGATATATAACCAGTAGGGTTGGAATATTCAAACTCTTGAAAGTAGTTTTACGGTATTCTAATGCTACTTGCGTACAGTATATATGGCTGTGTAGATTATAGTTAGAGGAAGGCTGTCAATTGATAAACGGGGTCTATTTGTCTACGTGTCCAAACCCTCGCATTTGTTAGAAGAGCCCAGAATCCCACTTTTACACCATATATAGATACGGCTAGAGCTAATTAGTAGTTTTGTAAAGCAATCAAATATTTACATGGTGGGCTATAGCGGTGTATCAAAAAAAAAAAAAAAAAAAAAAAAACGATTGGCCTCATGAAGATAATTGCGCAGATCCCTTCCGAGATTTTCCAAAATTCAAGCTGAATGATCGAGAGAGCGTCGTG